CCTGGGAGTAACTCCGCAGGACGAATCTGAGTTGGTACATCATGTGTGAATGGAGCTTTTGCAATCCCTGCTGTGTCATCCCCACCACGTGGAGTGCATACAGAGCAGAGGCCCACGCAGTTATTGTCCAAATCGACAGACGACGTCTGTCTGATAAGACTCGGTGGTTCCGAACTGCATGGGCTACTTCTGACATTGCAAGCTTACTGGATGACAGCCGATGTTTGAGAGTCTTCATTTCATAGTCGTGATAAGAAAGAATGACCCCCAAGTATGGGACCTGATAGCGCAGCGATATCAGCCTGCCCGAAGGGAGTTCAACATACTTCTCTCCCTCGACCTGGCGAAAGAGTTTCTTCCTAATGGTCGAGGCTGAGCCCCCTTGCAGCTGTAGCAGAATTGCTGACTTGGACGGATTGACCTTGAACCCAAGCTCTACCAGCTGATCCAGAAGCAGGTCGCAGTACCCTAGTGCTGTCATGAGGCCGGCCTCAGAGTCGAAATGCGACTGGATCAAGCTATCATCTGCGTACATTGTGAGGAGCTTCACTAGTTCTGCTGGGCTGATTTTCCCAGAGAGCTTCCTAAAGAGAAGCCCTGATGCAAAGGCGAATAAAGAGGGTGCTAGCTTACATCCCTGCTTGATTCCCCTGCGTGTGGCTATCTCAAAGCTCTGATCGCTGGCTGTCATCTTATACAAGGCTTTGATGTGGAGATGGCCTACCACCTCTATCAGAAGAGGATCTGCTTGTTCGGCTTCCAGGGCCTCTCTTAATCGCAGCCTGTTTACAGTGTCAAAAGCTTTGCTCATGTCCACGCTCATGGTGAGACTGCCTCTGAGCTTGAGCCCCTGTTGTCCCTTACCTGCAGCCCTAGTGGTGAGGGCCTGTCTGAACCTGGCCTGGTCCACATGTGTGAGGGCCTTGCAGATAGCCTCCTCTGTGCCCCTGCCTGGGACAAAGCCGAACTGAGAGACGCCGGTCATTGCTAGCTGGAGGGTAGACTTGAGTCTCTTCCTCACGAGTCCGGCTAGGACCTTACCCTCAGGTGCTATCACCCCGATCGGACGGAGTGAGGTTGGTTTGTCTGGCTTCTTGGGAGGCTTTGGGAGCCAGGAGATCTGTGACGAGGTGACACTGTCCGAGAGCCTTCCTGCAGTGACTTCCCTATTAAGGGTGTCCGAGATTAGCCGGATTGCTTGGGGACCTAGGGAGCGCCAGGCTACTACGGGAGGACTCTCTTTAGGAACCGCCTTGCCCAGCTTTATTGTGCCAAGCTGTTCTTGCACTTCTTGCTCAGTGATGTGCAGGCTGCCTTGTATCCCTGAAAGCGGGAAGTCATCCCCTGCTCCAAACAGGTCTAGGGAATATTCCTCTAATTGTCTTCTTTCTTCCTTGGCAGTAAGGAAGCGACCCTCAGAATCACGAAGCTGAACTCTTTCCTGGGGCCTCCCCGACCTGAAGCGCTTGATTACCTTGTAAAGGGAATGACTCCCGTCCTGCTTGGACTTAAGCTCTGCCTGCTGGAGTTGTTCATCTATTTCCTGCCGCCGCCGCTCCTGCTTGTGACGCTTTGCTACCCTCGCCTGTGCACTTTGCTGGGAGAACGAGCACCAGCATCGGAACACCATACGGACCTGCAGCTCGGGCAAGAACTCTGCTAAGACCTTGACTGCTAGTGGGAGTGAGCGCAACACAGAGCGCTCTTCCCAGATGCTGAGATCTGATCTTTGTGCTGCTTCCTTTCTCTTGGGAAAGTGAGTCGCGAGGGCTGAGTTCATTGCTTGATGGAGACTCTGCCAGGTTTGGGGATGATCCTGAAGGAGGGAGTCTACCTCCCTGGCAAATGCCTGTATTTTCGGGGAACGGTGTCTGTAGCAGTCCTCCATTGCCTGCTGGTCATAGGGTTTTGAGGCTTGGGCGGAGTATCTCCTGCTGTGCCTCAGTTTACCAAGAAGGGGGAAATGCCTACTACCATCCCTCCAGGATGCAACTGGGAAGGTCCTTAGTGGCCGGCAAAACCTGGCGGGGCCTTGGGACTGTGCAATCCTGACAAACGAGAAGTCAATCTGTGAAACAGAGTTGCCTTGTTCGTGGGTGGCTGGTCTATGCACTCCCCAAGTGTTGGTTGCGACTAGCTGGTGCTCCGACAGTAGGGTCTGGAGATCCTTAGATCCGCGATGCCCGAGTCTGCAAGCCTGGATCGTGCATGGCCCTACGTGTTTGTTGTCGGTTTTGAGCGAGGAGTTAAAATCTCCTAGCACAAGGAGAGTGTTGCGATTGGGAACAGCTCGGATGGACTTACTTAGGGCGTGAAGGGTCTGCTTCCGGGTTTCCTTATTCTGAGCGACTGTCTCCTTAGAGCGCCAAACGTATTGATAGCAGCTGAAGACGTCCAGTGAGATGCCGTTGCTCGGCACCCGGACCTGGAGAACTCTTCCTGGAACAACCTCGTTGTAGCGAAGATCCTGTGACTTGCACAGCGTGGAGTGCACCATTATGAGGACCCCGGCTCCCTTCTCCCCTGTGGAACCAGAGCTGATCACGTGCCAGCCTGACTTGCTGAATTGCCAAGAGCCCCTCCAGTGTGTTTCCTGAATTGCTACCAGCTTCACATCCTGAAATGCGGCACTTTGCAGTACGGAGAGTAACTCTTCCCAAACTGCTGTTGTGAGAGATCCTGCATTCCAGGATAGATAGCTGAGATTCTTATCTTCTGTAAATTTCGAAGGCCGAGTCCTTCTGCCGGGATTGGTGGGCTTTACATGTGCCGGAGCAACTCCAAGCTCTGTTGACGACATCGTCTTTCCCTTGTAGACCGCACTACCTTCAAGCAGAGCTTTACGTGCTGCCCTTTGATAAGAGCGTTTACCCTTCCCTTTAGGAACGGGCTGATGCTTGGTCGAACCACTAGGCTGTTTCGCAGCACTCATGTTGAGTACGGCTCCTGTCGGCTTCGCAATACCGACAACCCTCACCTCTGGGAGATGTTAGAGAGCTGTAAATCTAATACTCCCTCCCGGACTTGGGACCGGGACTGCTCAGGCGCTGACAAATGCCATGGCAAGAAAGGAAAAAGGCAACTGTACTAGCCTGACCTTTCCTGAGCCGAGAGGCTTACAACAACAACAACAACAACAACAACAACAACAACAACAACAACAACAACAACAACAACAACAACAACAACAACAACAACAACAACAACAACAACAACAACAACAACAACAACAACAACAACAACAACAACAACAACAACAACAACAACAACAACAACAACAACAACAACAACAAACACAACAACAACAACAACAACAACAACAACAACAACAACAACAACAACAACAACAACAACAACAACAACAACAACAACAACAACAACAACAACAACAACAACAACAACAACAACAACAACAACAACAACAACAACAACAACAACAACAACAACAACAACAACAACAACAACAACAACAACAACAACAACAACAACAACAACAACAACAACAACAACAACAACAACAACAACAACAACAACAACAACAACAACAACAACAACAACAACAACAACAACAACAACAACAACAACAACAACAACAACAACAGCAACAACAACAACAACAACAACAACAACAACAACAACAACAACAACAACAACACAGCAGTCTGTTCAGCGATAGTTAACAGCAGTAGTGTGTTCTATGCTTTATATTTCATCATCGGACATTGCAGACTGCTCCATGCGCAAGCACTGCAGCTCTCTGAGTCTTCCTAAGCTACGCAGGCTGCGGCCTTGATGGTCGAGTGGCTGCCACGGGGCACAAGCCTGTCACATCACAGAATGAGGGTCCAGGGATTTGGGTGGAGCGGCGACTTAGTCGATTTGGAGTGCCGCAGACTGTGCACAGGGCCAGTTTGTCCTTCGAAGGCTGCTTCTGCGAGGCCGATGCATGCGACCGATAAATAGCGGTGAACGAAGAGTTGGATGCTAACCTGCTTACATAGGGCTTTGCAGCCGAGTCCGACTACTGCTTTCCGATGAAGGCGTTCTCTCCTCAAAGCCGTGCCGGACACTCTGCACTCTGCAGGTCGGAGGGCCTATACTGAGACTGCGCAGTCGGCAAGTTGGCTTTCTTCACCTTCAGCAGAGATCCAAACGCCAGACACGCTTCGTCGCACCAGAAAAGAACAAGCTTCACTGCATCATAAGCTGCAAACAAGAGCATCCAGCAGGAGACAGGCTTGTCCCCAAGCAGCATTGACCTGCACGTAGAGGCGAAATGTGTCGCCGCTCAGCGATGCAGCGTGGAGCGGATCCACCTCTTCCCATGGCACTGGCTGTTCTGGTAGACGTCCCATCCTTGATGGCTTTTGACGGACTCAGCACCCACACTGATAGCCCGGTGTAGCGCGACATGTGGACATGTGGGTACGTGCCACAAAAATCTTTGCTGCACAGCATCCGAAAGCCATTGATTGTACCAAAAGGCCCGTCCTGAAGGCAACGACGACCATATAGCCGAATGACAGAAAATTGCGTTTCCCTACGCAGGTAATGTACCTGGGAAGACCTGGTACGTGCAATCGCGGTTTGTAGCTGGCACTTCACCACGCATATGTACAGTCAGGGCCTTGGATATGGACAGTCAGGGCCTTGGTGCACACCAGGGCCCACGTGACCCAGCGCAACAGATTGGAGCCGACAGGCTGATTTCCGGCCGGTGAGCGACGACAGTTCTCTCGGGCCAGGTATCCATTGTCCAGGATCCTGCATGCTCATCACGAATCTTGTTTGAGGCAATTCGAGGTGGTCGTCTTGATCATCAAGCGGAAGTCTCTTCTTGGATTGAAGTCTTCAAGTATATCGAGCACCGCGGGTGTTCTGGATGGGAAGCCGCAGCCTCAGATGCACTTCCTATGTTATGAAATGTCTGCCACCGGGTATTGCAACGCAGCAGGTCGGCTAAGCAAGTCCAGCAGCCAAGCGGAGAGCCAGCATCAAAGTCAGAATGATCTATTGGACAACACCTTGGGGGCCACCAAGGTCCAGCCGTACACCGCGATACAGACCTCAGCACATCGCAGCATCACGGCGGACCTTGGCAGCTGGTACTGCACCTGATCCGGGCAGTTTGGCCAAGGAACAAAGACTGTAGCCGCTCGCACGTTGAATCTGAGCCAACTCACCTGTGCGTGATTGAAACTCACATTCAAATGTTGCACTGCCATTATTGGAGGCAGCCGAAAGGCACGTGGGGCCAGCAACGAGGTTACGTAGAAGTCGGCCAGGAAATGGACTCCACAGCGCAACAAGAAGTCGCTGGGGTCCTCAGCTCATGAAGAGCAAACGACAGGAACGTACTTCCAGCGAACGGTTGCTGACAGGCGACAAAGTCGTCATCTTCATCGACGGCTGCTGCACTGCGACCAGCAAGGTGCCTAGCGTGGGGAAAGGACGGGAGGCGGAGCGGACACAAGCGGGAGAGAGAGTGGGAGAGGCGCCTGGCAGGGCTGCTGCTAATGGCGAAGTAAGCAAGGGAACAGGCCGGCACAAGCAGGCCATACCTCGGAGTGCCAGTGCTTTCTTGCAATCTCTTGCAACTGCTCTGGCGTGCTGCTGGAACACAGCGTGGTCGGAACGTCATCATCCTCCAACGGAGCAGCCCTGTCAGGCCGGATTTCCGCGACCTGGTGGCAGAGATAGACGTTGTAAGCCAGCATGACCTCGGAAAACCAAAACCAACAGACCAAGCCATAGCTGACTAATTGAATATACGGCTTCCTGACAAGAGACATGACAGTGCACAGCCAAGGAGCCGAGGAAGTCATCAGGGAGCCATGCTCGCACCAGGTTGTTATGCTCACTCCCAACAGGAGCACGGAAAAGATGAAAGATATCACCACACACCAGATCACCTGTGACAACTAAGCAGACACAAATCTGCGTCTGCTGCACATAGCTTGCGAAGCACAGGCCTCGGGCTCGTGCATGCACAGGAAAATGGCTGCTGCGAGCCTGGTGAGGCGTTTTCATCCACGACGGACGCAGACGAAAGACTCAACGATCGACGATCGGTACCACATGTGCGAGAGCGGCAGCACTTGCCTGCTGATTTACAGTACTGCCGAAATTCCAGTCGACATCCGTTAAATCGAACTACCTTTCCTCAGCACTGCGCTGGGGTCCGCACGAGCCCAGAAGCAATAGAACAGAGGCGGCAACCATGATGCGCGAGCGCCAGCTATAGGCCTCGACTTTCATCTTCAACGTTGGCTTACCAGCCTGCGTTCTAGGCAGCTTCTCTCAGTCCCGCACATCACTGCTGATAAGCCGCTGTCTCATCTGGACCTGGCGAGGATGAGCCAGAATCTTGGGCTAGCATGGGCTAGCCATGGTCCCCATTGCTCCGAGTTGCGGCACCGCTGTAAAGGCGGTCATTGAGGTTGTAGGCCCAGTCCATGAAGAGGACCGCCTCAGCGGCCATTGCAGACCGGACCCGCGGCCCGGGACTTCTGACTTCTCTCTCTCGGCCTGCAGCACGCGGTAAGCTGCAGCCGCAAACCTTCAGCGAGGCTGTCAAGCTGAGGCAGTCTTGCGGCTTGCGAGCTAATCATGCCGGGCAGACATCCCGAAATCCTCAACAGCCACAAATAAGCCAGATGGGAGGCAAAGGGTGACCACCAGCAGCACAAGCCTTAATGCAAGGGTCTGCAATAGTGAGCTGCGCGATTGAGCTCGCGCATGTAAGAACCACAATCCAAAACAGGCACACTGGACAGCCAGATTCGAAAGCTGCCCTCTCCATGCAAATCCAATTCCCGATGCCTTGCACCCAGGTGCAGACGGGATGCTGCACCGTGGCAATCAGCCTTAAAAATAAAGGACTGCGCCATGAAAAGTCAAACCAGTTTTGATTGAGTGACTAGCTACTGGGACAAACTGCAGCTGGGACGCAGTAGGACAGCCACGCGGTGGGCCAAGCCCTGTGCCCGCCAGAGAGAGCCCAGCGAGCCTTGCACCGTTAGGATGGCCAGCCTGGGTGGGAGTCGAAAGCGACATAAGCACGGATGTCAGACGTCATCCGAAAAGGACCGCCGAAAATGACTCCATTCGATGCACACGCGATGCGCTCGTGTTGCGCACGTGGGTGCCACCTGGCCACAAAATGTATATAAGGATCGAAGAGAACTCGGCACCTGCAGCGGTCTTCGAGTCTTCACCCAACACACCTCTGGCTCGCAGGCTCTGAGGCTGGCCGAGTGACGGAAAGCCATCTGATCTCGATAGCAATACTCCGTGTCCGGCGGATTCAGGGTTGCAGGACCTCAAACTAGAGAGGCCTACAAGGAAACTAAGGCAGCTCGAGAGCCGCGGACCTTCGCACACGCAGACTCCAACTCCTGCTTGGCTGCTTCGACCTAAGCACATTTGGGGCAATGCAAAACTTAGAGATCCATTGAAGGTTTCAAGACATGTCCTGACAGTCTCAGGACACAGCAAAAGCCCGGCGCAGCCAGGCGCAAAAGCAGTGCCAACAAAGCACTGAGGCCCTGCACGAGGACCAGAAGCCTGATCAGCTGAAAGAACTTCTTTAGGCAGCGTAAGAGCACTCATATGCCATATGCAATCCAGGGGCCAGTGAGACCACATCTTTGACCCCATGGCTGCGCTGGGGCGACGAGCTTCTCACCAGCCAGGCTGCTACACTAGACGGCTGCTAGACGTGGACATCTGTCGTTCAATGGATGCTCGGCAGGGAAGATCTCGGTCCGAGCTTTAATGGCGACGGCAATTGACACGAAGTACCATGTCCACACAGCTACAGGCGAAACCAACACAAGGCCACAAGGCCGTGCAAAGAATCTTGAGGCCATGTTGTCTGCCAGAGTGTGCCACTGTCACCATGATAACGTCGCTTCTAGCAGTGGGTTCTAGCAGCTTACAACGATGGACCTTGTATGACTGTGTCAATAGATAGTATTTCATCGTCCTGGGAGATGTGGAACATCTCCTGGCATCTTCTCACGCTGCACTTTGCTGCTGCAGAGGCGCAAGCTCGGGAAGCGCGAAGCAGCCCATCCTACAGAGATGCCTATTCAAATCAGAGCTCTCTGCACCTTTCGCGCGGAATTTTCAAGCAGAAACCCGCAAGTGGGCCAGAAGTGCGTTCAGCACGTTGGTTTTCCGGAGCCGTGTCAGCTCCGCCGATGCCTCAAGCTGCCCAGCTTCTACGCAAACAATTCAATTCAACTCATCTGTCAATTCCAACAACCTGGCACGGTTCTTCAAGTTGCCATCGGGGACCGGGCATATCGGATAGCTGCAGACGTAGCAGCACGCTCCTTCACGGGCCAAGCTTGCCGAAAGTTCAGACCACGTGCGAGTGCTTATGCTCGTGCTTGTCCTCTTCTGTCTCTTCGATGTCCAACTGGCACTCTGCAAAAAAAAAAAAAAAATCGTCTTCCTCCAGATCTTTCAGAACTATGAGCTAAACTTCTAAACCTCTCATGGAAGTTTCTGCGACATCAGAAATGCCTCCTTCTGAAGTTGTTCTTCCAGTTGCCGCTGGCGCTCAAGCTCGCCCTGAGCAGCTTGTTGCAGCTGCGAGCACTGGACGGAAAGATGACTGACTTGGACTTGATGCAGCTTCAAGATACTTTAAGCTAACACGATAAAGTCTTGCAGGCTGTTTGGGGCTCCGGCCATCAGTTCCGCCTCCTCTTTTCTGCACGCCTGCTGCTCTGAAGTACTGCAGCAGCAATTCTGGAACGCTGCATCTGGCATCGTTACTGCACCTCCAACTCATTGAGAAGGCTCTCTTCTTGCCGTTCCATCTCAGAGATCTCGGCCTAAACCACTCCGCGAGGATAAGAGTAATGACTTGCAGCCCGGATAAGAGCGCAAAGAATGCTGACTGAGCGGCTTCGAGCGCTGCCTGTGTGGATCCAGCGCTATCACACCCGAACAACATGTAGCCAATTGTGGGTCTGCTGTGCTGAGCCTTGCTGAAATACTACACGGACCACGCGAGCAAACCTGAATGTTAAGAAACGTTGACACTTCGCCTCGTCATTGGCGGCGAGCTCCTCCTTTAGGCGCTGGAGTGCCTCGTCGCATGCGGGCATCTGGAAGGCATCACCCTCACACGTCACGCCCGGACCGGGAAACCCAGGGCCTCGTTGTAGGTGCGGCTTTCTTCGGCAGCCCTACGGCAAGAGGCAAGAAGAGGCGCAAGCTAGAAGACTGGCTCATCTCAACCGATCTCAACAACTTCAAGCTTGGCAACGGTTCATTTTTCACAGACTTCTGACTTTCAAGCAAAGGGGTCTAGCCGGCCACCGATTTGCGCTCACCTCGGCCTCGAAGAGATATCTCCCAAGCTTCTCTCCCTGACTTGAGTCTGCCAGGGAAGCCTCAGAGACGATTCTCTGCAAGTCCTGGTCTGGAAAAACGAGCTGTGCATTTACCAGAGACGCAGGCTTTGACGGAGCGCAGCATCTCTGAAACTACTCACTCCAATTCCTTGCAGCGCTGTGAGTACGATGAGTGCCGCGTGCCGGCAAAGCCTACAGAAGCCTGAATCGTGGAACAGTCTTGCGACCTTCGGTTGCAAGACCTCTTCACGCTAGAGGCATAATACGGCACCTGCAGGTTGTCATGTCAGTATGCGGCACTTGCCCCAGTCATCACACGAAGTTCCTTACATCTGACGCTTGAAAATGAAACAGTGGATGCTGCTACAGTACTGAAAAGCTTGTCAAGACCGGTCGACGGGGAATGCCCCGGAAGCTATGGGATGGAAGAAGCTATTTGGTCCAAGCATCTCCAAGAGTATCCCGGCAAGAAGTCCGAAGAAGAACATCGCCTGCGAAGCAAGACTACGGCTCACAACTGGCTCTGTCATGGGGGCATGCCGTACACCGGGGGCCGCGGACGTTGATCAGCTTGGAGCCACTTGCAACTTCCTGTGCTTCGACTAGGAGCTCCTGTGAGGTGCAGTGCATGGTAGCTCTGCTTGACTCTCTCAATGCCACGCTGCCTGTGTCACGAGGAAGAGCAAGGCAACGATGGAGAAGCTGATGAAACCCTGGAGTGCTCGGTCTGGCTTTTTTGGGCCAGGCTCAGGCTGGTCTTCGGTCTTAAGTTCAAATGTGCCTACCAGCAGAACCTCCCAGGCTAGAAACGTTTTTCTTGGGAGCCGGCAATGAAGACCTCAGGATTCTCCGAGCACATCCTTCCCAGCCTGCCAGATGCACACGCGCCTCGATTCGTCTACAGGTCATACCAGGCTTCTCACAATGTCGTTACGGGACGTCTGATGCCTGTGTCCTGCTTCGCCGGACAGCACCAAGATCACGGGCGGCAGCAGGGCTACTATCACGATCTTCCACGCCTGAGTGTTCGCGGGCTGTCTGCCTGTCGCTCGGATGCTGCATTGCATTTTCTGCAGCGCCGTGCATACCGAAAGGCTAGATGAGTTTACATTGGGGGCACGAGCCAGCCAGTTGCGACTTATCTTACGGCTTCCCTGGACCTTTCCCTTCAATCTCTACCTCGTCGGTACACTCGTCGACAAGCCCATCTGCGCATGACAAAATAAGCTGAAATCATTACACATGCAATCACAGCTGGAGCTGCGCTCCCAGACATCCAAGAATCCGAGGGTTGCTGGGTATGCACACTTTGCACCGCCGACATAATGCTTTGAACATCCTGCTCTGGATATGTATAGCTTTTCTCTGGATCTAGAACTCTCCAGTCTTCTGTGGCGATCAGCCAAGTGGCCGAGCGCGTGGCGTTCTGCAGAGAGGCACAGAAGGAAAGGCCCAAGAAGCCCATTTCCTGAGCTGTGGAGGAGCAGGGAGCAGTGCCTCTCCCTCTCGACACCCCCGGACAAAGGTCATGGCTATGCAGGTTGCAGCTGCCATGGCAATACCCGCACCTTGGATGCTTCTCCATTCAGTACTGCTAGAGAGCAGCTCTTATGCCAAAGATGATCAGCCACGATGCTCGGAGATGCTGCGTAGGACAAGCCTTTGCCGGGTTCACCCTTCAAGTCGCTTGTGAGGATAGAAGAATAGGAAGATGGATGTACCTAAACCCTAAACTCGCCCAAACACAAAGTCTTCCCCTCACATGCCGTCAAGAAGCCGATCAACAGCCCGTCCACTGCAGCATCTACCGTGACCTCGGGGCATCTTCCAGCTGCAGGGTGGACAAGCTGAGTCGCTCTGGCAAGACACTAGTCATCTTGGGGCACCAGCTGCACCCACTAAAGGAAGCGGCAGCCGCTCCGACAGCTGAGCTTCCTCGGTTGGCCTTGGCAGACCGGGAGCCGAAAACATCCAAAAAGAGGGCACACTCCCCGCCAAGGGAAAGGGACAGGCGCGCAACACTTCTCTGATTGCTCCGAGCCACTTCGCAAGGGCCTTCCACCGCCGGAAGTGAGGTACACGCTCCGCGTGACCATGCAAATGCTCCAGGCAAGCCTCTTCGCACTTCGACTCACGAACTCCAGTCTTCTCTCCGCTTTTCGCGAAGCCTGAAACGCTTTGAGGTCGTCTTTCGCCTTTTGGAATGTGTCGAAGCCTGCCATGTCAATGCTGAGGAAAGCAAAAGAAGGTGCAGCAACCTGCTGTCAGTTTTCAGAATGGTAAGCCACTCGTATTTCCTGCTGTCGGCTACAACCGCAGGCCTTGGAGTTTCACTGATGCGTGATCCAATTCTCGCCCATGTTCTTTCATCCTCCCAACACATGTGTCGAACCAGGTTGCATGCTCAGTGTCGACCGAAAAATACAAGTAGGGAAGGTGCCTTTTGTGATTGTAGTCGTCGATCCCTGTTCGGACATAGAGCACGCGTGTGGCCTTGTGAACTCGATACCTGAAATGCTCCAGAAGCAGGGTCAACGATCTCGACTGGTTGATATAGACATGTGTACCCAGCAGATGTGAATGCATGCTGGAAGATCTGCATGCTATTGAAGCGAGGTGCTCCAGGCCATGTAGGATCTCATCAATGGAATTCTGGCAGCCGTCTTGCAGAACAGTTTGCAACCCTCAGCTGCATTCTGCAATGAGTTACATCAGTTACATCTGGTTGAACACTAGACTCCTGTGCCGTCTGCCATAGCGGGGCCCTCTCACGCACCATCTGACACATGGGCTTCGCTTGGCCAAGTGTCGCTGAACCTCCCTCCGAATCTCAGCAGTTTCTGCTTGGAAGCCTTCCTGGATCAGAGGCGGCAGAGACCGATTGCAATGCAAGGTAAAGGAGACGTAGACATACTGCTAGACACTGCGAGCCGGCAGTCGAAGGAAGGCACTAGCGGGAGCCAGCCTTGTATACAAAAACCGACACGCAGAAATAGCCCCAAGCCCGCAAAGGCTAGCAGGAGCCTTCGCCCTCGTCCGGTCGGCTTCATCGACATCGAGCAGCGCCTCCACACTCCAAGCTCCCAGAGCACTGTTGGGAACAGAGTTTCTATCATTTGGGACACCCCCACGATGAGCCCCAGCAACGAAATTTCCCCTGGACCACTTGCAGCAAGGCGCTGTCTCGATGTCGCTGTGAGTTCTCCTGTGCGTCGGCTGCTCCTGTGCTTTTCATTTTGCAGCTGAAAGAATCTCGAAGGGCGCTCAAGTCGCAGATGATGGTACCAGTGGCAGGCATGAGCAGGCATGGCATCCTCGTCTTCATCTTCTTCCATGCTCTCTGTGAGGTATCCGAGACCGAACCTGTTTACGGTTAGATCTCAAAGGAGATATCTTACTTGTGGAGATTCCCTCCAAGGAACATAAATATCAGGCCGATCACAAAGCCAATCACAAGCGCCACCGTGGACACCAAGTTCGAGGTGTCTGAGCTTTTGGGCGACAGCAGTGGCAGGAGCTCGTTGCCAACAGCGGAGATCAGAAGGCCTCAAAAATGATCCGCAAGCGACGGCTGAGAAAAGAAGATCCGCATCGGCCGCGCCTGCTGAAAACATCTGGAATCCTGCCTGGATCGTATCGGGCAATCGGCACCTTGATCGGCAATTAAGCATACCGACAAGCCACAAGTCGCCTGGCATCGCAGCATCCTATCTGCAAGGATCACCAGCAGCCGTGCTAAGCCACAGACACAAAGACAGCCATGGAGCCCAAGAGCATTGCTATCGAGGGCAGCGAAACCACGAGCTGGACATGAGTCTCCATGGGACCTGGACTGCAAACCCTCTTCGGAGCGAGTGCTCGTGGCAAAGCTTGGATTCTGCATTGATCTCCCTCATGACTCATGACTTAAGCCTTGAAAACGGGTATGGCCTCGCTGGTCTTCGCCACGGTGGCCCAAACGGCCCAAGGGATCTACCCTCTGCGTGTCTAAGCTGAGTGCTGCGATGGCATCTAGCGATGCAAATTCAATAAGCCATGCAGCCGAACTCATTCAACAAAATCCAACGATTACATGGCCCTTGCATAGCTGTCACACGCAAGGCCTCGCTGGCCAGCCTCTCCACTTCCGCAACAACATTTTTCAGGCAGTTGGAGCCTCCAACTCCAAGCTTCTTCCAACATGTGCACGAATCTTCTAAGAACGAAACCTACAACGCTCAGGACGCTACACACCGGATGATCCTGCCCGGACTGGCCGGCGGCAAGGGCCTTGGTTGAGGTAAACTAACCGGTCTGTGGTGTGTTGAAGAAGGGTGATCTGGCGGTCTGCGTGGCTTCCGCTCAAACTCATTCTGTAGAATTCAACAAATATCCAAGATGCAACGGCCTTGGATCAGTTGATCAGAAGAAGATCGGGATTAGGCCATGAGGCGAAGCTCCGTGAAGGGCGACAGTGAAGGCTAACACCGCTACCAATTCAAATTGCGCAATGCGAAGCTGATTGACAGCGGATAGTGGGACCGTTCCTAGGAGACTGTCATGCAGGACTTGAGCAGGGGTGAAGGCTGAGATGGCATGTCGACCTGATATGCAAGGACGACAGTCGACAGATCTAGCGAGTGAAGCGATCTTTCCACAAAGGTCTACACAGTCTACACCACAGTGATCGCACTGGTATCGGTTCTCACAGTGCCAAACAGAGACCATTCCGGCCGATCCCAACTGCATTCAACAATCTGCAATCGGCAGCTTTCCGCACAGAAGCTGGGTGGCGAGACCATGATCCGCTCCACTCGCGCCACCTGCTCGAAAGGTGCCACCCAGGGTTGTGCCTGCAGCTGGGCAGTGAGGGGAAACGGAACATGTCCTGCGCAGTGCCGTCCGGAGGAGCGCAGCCCAAAAGACCCAAAGCAAACATGCTGCAGTCACCCCAGTGACGTCCTGCTAGAGCAACCGACACTGCTTTGCAAGCTTTGTTTCTGCAGCTCTTAGATGTCAGCCGTTTGCAAGGACCGAGCCTGGTTGGGCGCATCCTGCTGAGAACCTGGAGCCACGAAGGACTGGCGTCCCCGAGCTACGTGTAACAAGACGAGCTTTGCAGAAGGTTTTTGGGGCAGGAATCCTTTGGCCTCAACGCAGCCTGACGGGTGCAGAACGGCGGGCACATGTCACTGGCACGACATGAAGTTCGAACTGACACCTCTGCGAATCCGAATCGGGCAAGAGACTTTGGCTCGGCTTCTCCGGCTCCTCAGCACTGGGTGGCACCACCTGAGCTTCCAACGGCTGTGCAGAATCAGAGTCCGACGACGGCCGCAAGAAGCGACATTGTGACAACGCTTTAAAGCGGCTTCGGGACAGCGCAAAAAAACCAGGTGGCATACACTGGGTCGAGGGCCACGAATGACTCGCTCACACCCTTGTGGAAAGACTTCGACACGTCCTTAAATCACGGGATATCACGGGCATCGCGCACACACACACGCACACACAACTCTCTCTCTTGCTTGCACGCAGCCAGAAGGCAGTTCAGCTCTCTTGCTTGCTTGCTTGCGAAGGAAGGGGTTTAGGGTCCCTGGGGGGCGGTCTGTCACCTCGGCCAATTTTCGGGGAGGAAAGAAGGGTTCCTCCGAGTGCCAGTGTGAACTCACCCCGAAGTTCAGCTCTCTCTTTCTTTCGCCAGGGTAAAAGCAAGGGCACCCTCTTGCTCCGGCTCCCCCAAAATAACTTTGCTTTGCTTTGCTCGGGGTTTGAGGCCGGAGCAGCCCTCCCGCCCCGCGCAGGTGCGCTACCCCATCCACTATTTTGTGTGGATGAGCTCAGCTGTACAGGAGTGTGTGCCCTGTTATTCAGGGTGGTGGGTGGGTTCCCCTTTTTAACCAAAGAAAGTGCGTAAGTTGAACATTGTTGGGTCCCCCCCCACTCCACTTGGTACTGCAGGTGTTGGGCTCCCGCCAAAAACTCTCTCTCTTCTTCAGCACAAACAGAGGGAAGCGCGATCCGAGGTCCGCGCCCCCCTCGCGCGTTACCGCGCACTGGGGGGGGTAAAGGACAGAAAGAGCTACCGAGACTTCTTGTGGCTCAACTCACCGGCTCTCCCCGACAACCACTAGCCTAACCCCCAACCCGCCTCGAAGGCTAAGGGGGGAGCCCCCCTCTCTCTCTCTCTCTTTTCTTTCTTTCTGCAGGGCGTAAGGGGTCGCGCGCACCCCCCAGGCCTAGGCCCGCCCAGCTCACCCCCTGTATTATGGAGTGGCTGGTCTTTGGGGTAGTCCAGACTATGGCATTGTACAACCCAGTGTGCTCTGGGCATACAAGCAGAAAGCCCCCCCGAACACTAAACACAGAAACAACCCCCGCCTCGTCCCCGCGCCCCTGCGGCTTACAGTCCTTAGCCTAGTCAGGTTCGGGAGGGCATGAAAAAAGCCGGCCGAATTCCCCTCCTGCCAGAAGCAGTCGGGGTGACGAATTGTTGTAGAAGGCGGATCGGACATCGTCAAAAAGACGGGTTTGCAATGAATTGGCAGAGAGGCGGAGCGAGCTGCCAAATCGTGACAGCATTGTTCAAACGCTTCTGGAAGGGATATGGTACAGAAAAGCGTTCCCATTTGCTTCCCCCAGCAAGGCTCAATCCCCCGAGTTGCGGTAAGGACTGCGCTAAAAAACATATATGGTACAGGGCACATGCATCCCTCCGGCAAGGGTCAACTATGAAGAAATCCCCATGAAATGGGCCAAGGAAGGAAAGAGGAGCTCAACACAAGGCACTTCACCCCTCTCTCCCCCTCGCACTCAAACTCGGAAAACTTTTTCTTGCGCTCACTTTACTCACTGCGGCTCCTCGGCGTTACTTCCCCCAACTCTTCGTCGGGCCATGTACTCCTGTACCTCCCTCACTTGCCAGCCTATGCTCGGCACCAGGTTCGTTGTCGGTCTCCCCCTGGCACCACGTTGTGCTGCAGCACTTGGGTCTGTAAACTGGTGCGGCCTTTTGCTCCGCGGTTCCCCCGTCAGCGCTCTGGGCTCTCCTTCTGGTTCTGCGGGTCTCCTGCGGTCAACTGTGTGCCTTCTTGGAGGTTCCCCCAGTGGCTCCGCTGGCTTCGTTTGGTTGGCTTCCCGGTCTGAAGGTCTGCCTTCTGCTCCCCACGGCCATTGTGAGTCAGCGTCCTGGTAGCCGTGGTAGTCCTCCTCGTTGTGTTCCCCCGGGGTTGCACCTTGGTCGTCGTCGTCTGCGCGCCGTGGCGCCTCCCCGTCCTCATCTGCTTGGCTGGTTTCACTTCCCCAGTCTGGTGGTGTATCCGAGGTACTGTCTTCCCTTTGCACACTGGTCGTTGCCGCCCCTCTTGAGCTGCTGGCTGTCTCTGTCGGCTTGGCTGTGGTCGGCACGGTCTCCTCGTCTGGTACGCGTTGTGGGTCCCCCTTCGTGGCTTGGTGCTGCGCTGCCCGCGTCCCCCGCTGTGCTTGCTTCTTCTTCTTCACCTTGCGGGCATCCTTCAGGAGTTTCGGGATGCGGTGAGGGAAACGCATTATGAAGGCACGCGTCTCGTTGGTGATGCGGGGCATGAACTCGTCCGTGATTTTCACCAACTTGTCTGCTGCTGCTCCTAGGGCTCGACGTTGAGAAAATCTCCCCCTATAGCCAGCATAGGCCTCCCGGTCGCTCTCCCCCAGCGGCTCCCCCTTCTCGTCGTAGAGCTCCCCGGTCTCATCGTTGTGCTGTACGTTGCGCCCGATCCATACATCGAGCGGACTTGGGTGGAAGAGAAGGTGAAGTCCGCCACGTGTTTCGTGCTGCACCATGCGGTCAAGGCTTGGCGCACGTCTGGAAGAGGAGCTAGCATCCCCCCCATCCTCGCCTTCTTGTGCTCGTGGCTTTGCTTTTGGGCTGGCCACGGAGACATTGGCCAAGCTTGTAACTCCGTGCAGCCGACACGCCGGATCGCTTCTCACATGCACCTTCCGCATGCCGGGTTTGCATATCCCCCAGCTTCCCTGCATAGTCGACATTGCATCTTCCCAGGAAGTTTGCCTTGGGTTCCGTTAGGATGTAGTATGCCGGTCCCCCCCTACTGACGGGCCACCCCCCGAAGGAGGGCCGTGGTCAAGGGGTCCCGTGAGCGAAAAACCCTGGGGCCACTTAAGCAAAATGAGCAGCGGCGTGTGACTCAAGCGCCGCAGGGGAAAGCAGCACGGCTCTCCTAAGGCTTACAACCTTAGGCCAACCGCGTGCCTCCCCCCCCGTACCAAGGAGGGTTTACAGTCCCCCAAGGCAAAGGTGCGGACACTTGAGCCAAAATGGCTATCTCTCTCTCTCTCTCTCTCCCGGGCATGGGGGACGATCAGATCCCCGTTCAGCTCCCTTCTTCAGCTCGGCCAGGAGGGTCGGACGCACGAGCACCCTCCCCCCCGCCACCGGGGAATTTCGGGCGGTGAGAAAAGATAAAAACTCCACAGGAAGAAGCACAGGCCGTCCAGCACACACCCACCCCGCACACTAAACCCCAACCCGCCTCGTAGGCTAGGACTCTAACACCCCACCGGATGGCCTTCGGCTCCCCCACGAAGCTGGGGCATTGACTGTGTCGGAGGTTCGGTCTCTCGATCAACAGTTGCTCTGTGCTCCCACAACATGTGCAGCTACACAGACTGTACACTGAGGCCCCAGCGGAGAGAAAGTACGCAACAACAAAAGCCCCCCCCAATCACTATCATCGGTCCACTCGCGGTTGACTCTCCGTCTGGCCCCCACAGGGTCCAATTGAGTTGCACTGAGTGCGGGGGCCGCGCCAAAAACATGCGATCCGGCTCTGTGGCCGGCTTCTTCCCCTCTCGTCAGTACAAGCGTCTATTTAAAGGCGGCTCCCCCAATTAGGGTTTCACGGATCCCCCGAAAGTGGTGCATTGAAAGAGCGAATTATCAAGGTGTCTAGGTTCGTCATTCGGAAATCGAGGATTTTGACCATTCTGGTCTGGTTTGGAACGGGCGCCTAACTTCGGGGCGGGAAAAGCTGCTTCAGTGACCCATCAATACAAGTGCAAACCCGTCAACAGCTCCGTGCAATTTCCCCCCCATATTCCTACGACTATGCAAGACACTTGTGGCATCACGGTATTTACAACAGCTCCCTCACGCTACCGCTTTGGACTCTCTCGGCTTCTTCCTCCCATCTCGTTGTCGAGTACTGTCTGCACTGGTGCTCGCTGCCATCCTGCTTGGGCTTTGGCCCCCCTCGCACTTTCACGGCCCTTTCGGGCACCTCGATCAAGCGGCAGGCGGGGTCTGCGCGTCCCTGCACCCGTACTTGTGCCCTCGTTCTCTGGAGACCTCTTCCCCCTTGCCTGGAATGTCCTGGCAGTCCGGCGGGATCACTTTGAGGTCCTCACGGCTGAAGTATGCTCCGCCCCCCTACTAGCGGGCCACCTCCTCCCAAAAGGAGAGGAGGGCCGCGTTCAGGATCTGGAGGATGCGAATGTTAACCCCCGGGCGGCTCGACCTGTATGGGCTGCTGCGTGTGGCTGAACCTCTCTCTCTCTCTCTCTGTCTCTGTCTCTCTTTTTTCTGCCGGACTTAGGGGTCAGCTAGCGACCCACAGGCCATTGGCTCTCCCGTACCCCCCCCACCCCGCCCGCTGTGTTAATGAGTGGACGGGTGCAGAAACGACATAGGAACCTCTGAGTTTCTGTGCTGCAAGTTCCACTCCTGGGCATTGGGCCTCTCGGGTCGAAGGCCCACCCATGTTGTTCAGAAATAGCAAAACAGAAGTGAACCCCGCGGAGTACAGAAGTGAGAGAATGATCGATAAGCTCGAATGAAGCGGCTTACCGAGGTACGGCTGGAGAAAAGTGATCCCCGGCACTTAGGTACTCTTACGAGACATAGTCTGGCCACGACAAGGCCATGGCCCCTAGAAGACAAAGCGGCATATCTCACAGGATCTGAGAGCACGTGTTGGTGGCTCGAACTTCGCACAGCAAGGACAGGGTCTAGCATTCAAAGCCCGACGCAAAGGAGGCAACACCACACACTATAATTCAGACTATAATGATTTCAATGGCAAGAAGTTTAAGTGACTCACCCGGTCCACGTAGGAACGGCTACTGCGCGGGTTGCAGCACGGCTGTCCAAAAGCCTTCCTCGCAAGACATGGAACAAACTGCACACACTCTCTTCCTGCCATCCTGCGGGTCCAAGGTCCGAGCTTGCCGCACCCGTGCCAAGGCGCCCCCCACTCTTTTATAGGTTTCAGAGAGAAAAGGCTTTGGGGCCAATTGGATGCGATTCATCCCCGAGGTCTCAACATGCGGCAGCTGGCGGTTGTCGTAAATCCCCCGACCCTGAACGTCAGCCCGCCTATCGGAGGGCCGGGATGCACACACTCTCTCACTGCCTCTCTCTCCCTGCACGGGGACACCTTGTCCGTGCGTCTGCGAAGATCTGTTTCTCTCATTCTCTGGAGCTCTGATCCCGAAGCTTTGCACACTCTCAGTGGCCAACCGCTTCCGGAGGCAAGTCCTAGGTGCGATACAGACAGCTTCAAATACACCACGAGCGAACTGTCACTGGTCCAGCTTCAAATAGTGACAATCGAGCACGCGAGGGCATGCTGCAAGTGTCCTGCCTAGCATCTAGTCGAAGGAGCAGCAAATGCCGGCACGAAGGCAGTCCCAAGCCCCGAACATCCACGATGCGTAACTGATCTCCACACCGGCTACCTTGCCAAATGTGCTGTCCACGACAAAGGCTGGAGCCGGACGCCATATAGAGCGCCGAAAAAGCGACTGAGATCCAGGCAATCGGTCAAGAAAACGGTCTTCTGCGCAGCATCCTTATGTTGGACTCAAACCTCGAGAAACTAAGGCAAGCTCCGCGTGGGTCCCGACTGGGGCGGTTCGGCCCAGCGCAGGGTCCGGCGGACGCAGCATGCAGGCTTCAGATGGCTGGCTGTGCTTGGAGTGGGCTGACGGCTGACGCATTGAGATTTGTTGTATCCATGTCTGCCACGTACAGTCTTTGCTGCAAATGGCGGACTGCGCCGGAGAACATTCTCCATGACACCCCCGACATGTCTCTCTGACCGTCCCGCGCACCCGCTTCTCATAGAACATTTTCCTTCCAGCACGAAAAGTTTTCGACCGGTTGCGGTGTGGTCGTTGGCATTGGGACTATCTACCTCCTCAAGGCAGTGGCAGAGTTCTTAGGCATGGGTGACACCAATTTCGCGAGGAACCCAAGGAAGAAGGCAGTGCACGCTTGCTTCCAGCTAGCTTCCACCGTTAAGTCGAGTCTCCAAGGGTTCCACCACACCATGGAAAATGCTTGCATTGAAGGCATCTTCCAGGATGACACAATACCCTTGCCCGGCATGGCGGCCACAGCCATCATGATTTCAAATGCACCGTGCGCAGACAATCGCGCTGGAGAGTTCCTGGCTAATATGTCCGAACATCTGTGCACCGGAAAATGTTCTTTCTCTTCGAGCTGCCAAAAAGGGACCTCAGCTTTTCCGCGGTCCTCGGGAATTGTGGCAGATGGGCCTTACCTCGTGAAGAGCTTGGCCGGACTTGGGCAAAGCCATGCCGTATGTAGCTCTAGTTGCTCTTGCTCTGCGCTGAGGCCGGTTGCCATCAAGGCCGTCTGCGAATCAACAACACGTGGTCTGGCTGAACTTGCGTGTACAATCTTCCACAATAGCCGGCAACTTCTCAGCGGTTCAAGCACCCAAGGTCAGCATGCTGACCCTGTAAGAACCTACATCTGATGAGGTGTTGATTAGCTGATTAGCTGCTTGTCAACGTGATTCACCTCTGCATGGTCTATGCTTATAGGCAAGCCTTATTCGTTAAAGCTTGTACGCTAACGCGTCGGTCTCACTTCCAGGCGCAGGCGCACGGCACCAAGGCAACAGCTGCCTCGGCAAACGGAGGATCATGTCCTCGATTCTTCCGGGAGCCTGAGAGGGATCCAAGCGCCCCGCGCCCGGAACCCCTGCGATCTGTGGCCGAGGATGGAACGCCACCTGCTAGCAGGCAGGACACTTCAGAGAATACGCCAAGCCGGCTCAGCTGGCAAGGAGGCCAGACCCAAAAAGCAGCGCCATGCTGCACAACTTAGCCCCTGCGGAGCACCCAAGAAGCGAAAGCGTGCAGGTGATATGGGCTCCACTGTACATCTACTCCACAAGCCTCAACTCGCGCTCTCTTATAGCTGGCAATCAGGACGCCCGAAAGGGCGGCTGCACCAATGCAAAAGCTTTCTGATCCAGGGACTTTCAGACATGGTTGGCTCTCCAGTACAAGCGCCTTGTTCTCCTGCCTGTTGCTCACCGGATAACTAGCTACCCCGGGACCCCGCCAGCTTCCGACCAGCAACTATCCTGCGCACCTGTCCATGAAGGGCACTGGTGCTCATTGCTCGGCCGAGCGGGGACACGACCTGGAGACGAAATGAGAAAATGAGATCCACTGGGCTAGCAAAATTAAGAGTATTGAAGGGCAAAAGCTTGACATACACTCGAATGCGGCCCAGTCGCTGCTCGCATTACACCCATGGCGCGTGCAGGTGCAGGAGTGTGTGACGGCCGCCTGCAGAAAGCATGCCAGCGCTGAACCTGCGAGTGGACCTCCCCTGGGCTCAGCCGCTTCCAAGCGTCCGAGTGACTGGGCGCAGGACTGCGAAGGCTGCATAGAGGAATGCCCCGCATGAGGCACCTGCGCCACAACCTGGCAGGAATGCCGCCAGTATCGGATGACACTACCGCTGGGAGCAGCAGTCTCAACGGAACAACTTCGTGCCGCTTCAACAGTATATGGGAGCTGGTCAGAGCAGCAACAAATCTCTGTGTGGTGCCAATGATGGCAGCGGCCTGTATGGGAGAAGCCTGTGGCAATGTGGCAGCAGAGGCATAGATGGCTCGGCCCTGCAGGACACAGGTTGGCCACTGTGCTGAGTAGCTGTCCCTAAGTCAGGAGCATCTATGCGAACTCCCAAACTGATGACGAGGGCACACATCAGCACACCCGACGTTGAATACTGTCTACGCAATCTACACCTCTTGCATCGCTTTGTCAGCACTTGAAGCGAAAGCTTCACCTGGTCAGCAGCCCATGTCCAGAAGCAGAAACAATTCAAACAACCAGCATCTGTCCATATTCCCTGCTGGCTTGTGTGCTGCCTCTGTTGTTACGGGCGGGTCTGCAGCGAAAATTTGCTCTGCAAAAGCAGCACTGCTCCAGGTCACCGAGAATGGTGGCAATATGTGGCCAGTGACACAAACAGTTATGAATTATGAGGTTCGTGTCGAGAGCAGCAACAGCATGACAACATACTCTCTGACAATGGACAGCAGCGGCTACAAACACGAGGGCGCTAAGGATATCAGTTGTCACGGCCATTCTCCAGGGGATGGGGAAACATGACAACAGTGGTAAGTACTGAGCTCTGCGCCTTGGCCAAAGGGGGCGGTGAGGTGGCCTTGCAAAAGCGCACCACAGCTGCTGCTCGACACCACATTCCTCTTTTGCGCGCATGCTCGCAGGCACAGCTTCTTCCTGGAGGCCGGGTAACGCAAGCCTGGTTCAACCATATCGGGAAAGCCGCACGAACTGCAAGCACCGTCCAGCAATGTCCAGGACCATCGCGACAAGGATAACTGGCGCTGCTGCTCGTTCCGTCGTGGTCAGCTCATCAAATAGCAGGTCCTCCCTCGCAGAAGTAAGAACGGAAGGACTGGAGAAGGCCAACAGCGCCGAGTGGGAACTCATCGGCTCCTGTGCTCTTGCAGCTACAGTTCTTGCATCTTTGGGGACACCGCCGCCGCCGCTGCACGAGGGCTCAACAGCTGATTCAGAAGATCACGTGCATCCTCGAAGCCCTGCTCTGCCAAGTCTCGCAGGACCTGTTCTGCCCGGAACAGGGTGAAGGCATTTATCTGAACACCACGCTGGTGCAACTTCACGAACTGTGACAGCGCTGCTTTGGATTCAATGCGGATCAGCCACGGAGCCACGGCCTCCCAGTTGCCTTCCCGGGCCAGTGGCTCAATAAACTTCTTCATTGCCATCTCGTGGCCCATCCGTGCGGCGCGTTCCAAGTGCAACAGGGCCTTCCCTCGATTTTTCCCGCGCTTCGGAGTGGCCTCGGAATAGAGCACATAACTCTGGTACATGGCCTCGACGGTGAAGTCAGCAGCCCGTTCGAACCATTCCGTAGCAAGATCTAGGTCCACGGGAAGACCGCCGGTTCCGTTTTGATATCCGGTTGCCAGCTGTCCCATTGCATTGGGCTCGCCAGATATGGCACCCTGTCGGAATAGCTGCACGGCCCCACTCATATTGCCTCGACGCCTCTCTACCAGCCCCAGATAATAGCAGGAGTCAATCTCACCACCTTGGCGGGACTGCTCGTACCAGTAGGAGGCCTGATCGGAGTTTGGCTTGCCTCGGAGACCATCCTCGATTGCCTTCCCGAAGTAAAGCTGGGCACGAGGGAAGCCGCTATTGGCCGCTGTCTCTAGCCAGGTCCAGGATTCTTCGGGTGTGGCCGCGCGCATTGCGCGAAGCGTTTGGGCGACGGGATCGCCTCCCTCTGCCTCTTTTTTCCACCAGTCGGCCGACTGTGAGCTGCAGTCGCTCGAGTCCTGGAACCACATGGCCCAACTCCATCGCTCTCCTGCCTTGACATGCACTCCGTGAAGAAGATCAGACTGATGTACGACGGTGTCGCCTTGCTGCAAAGGAATGAAAGACTTCTCACCGTTGCCGGTGGTGACAAAAAAACCTCCGTCAAAGTCGCGGCCCGACGAATCCAGGCTGACGACCACAGAGACATACGAGGGAATATCCCAGTGTGTGTCGTGGGTACGACGCTCGTGCAGCAAGTAGCGGCGGATCATCGAATGGCACACAGCCCCTGCATTCGGATAGCGCTTCCAAACGAAGGGCTGGATGCGGTCTCGGATAATTGGCTCGGTAATAGCTCGAAGGCGCTGACGCAAGGACTCCCTCACAGGATCATGAGCCTTGCGTGCACCAGCGCTGGAAATGATGAACTCGTAGGTCACCATCTTGTCGACCCCATCGATATCCTCATCAAAATCGTTCGGGGCATCAACCAGCAGCTGCTTCATGGCAACGGCTTCATCACCCGTGACTAAGGATGGGAGCAAGTGGAAGTTGGCTCTCCAGGTTGAGACAGGCCACTTCACCGAACCACTCACCACAGTTCCAAGCCATGTCTCACGTGCCCAGAAACTGGGATGCAACGTGGCAGTTTCGCTCTGCACAACCACAAAGCTGGAGAAGCTCGCATTTTGCATCCACTTGTGGACAGCATGGCGCTCGTCGATGCGTGCATCCCGGGTCTCCGTGACGCAGCCCAGAAGCCCGAAGATGCCAAACAGTCCCAAGAGGCCAAGGACAGCTTTCAGGAAAGCCATGAGAATCTGCGGAAGAAAGACCCCCAATCAAAAAAAAACATCAAAAGACAACAAGCCGGAAAGCTGCTGCTCTCCTAGATGCTGTGGCACCAAGGGTGTGCTGGGCCACAGGTTGTTGTTGGTACGTTGGTCGTTTGTTCAGTCTCCTTCTGTCAAGAAACCACAAACCGGCACAAAAACAGCTGCTGACACGCATCGAGATTGCATCGCTTGGTTTCGCTGTCCGAACTTCCACGGAACGGCTGGCATGTACCCTGAAAGCCCTTCACAGCACCACATTTTTCCAACACCCGAGCTGAAGTAGAGGAGAGCTCTTGGCCGAAGCAAGCCTATGAAGACTCGGCATGATTTCGTTCGCCTGTGGCGATCGCACAACGTCTTGCTTGGAAGGAGAGGCCGGATTCGGCGAAGAAGCACCTTGGCTCAGCAGCAGATTGCAGACGGAAACCAAGCGGATCATTTTACGGCGCGTGTCAGAACCCACTGCAATACAAGATTTCACACCCTCGCTCGGTTCCGAGGAGTGAGCTTCTACCCACGGGCATGCTCTGCACGGCTTGGACGCTCCGTGGGTCCACTCCGGGACTGGAAGAATTGGGGGCCGGCCTCACGGCACTTGTCACTTGGCGAATTCCGACCGAAGTGGCTTAGATAGTTCGTGGCCTCGATGCCCAGCGAGTCATCGGCAGGTCCGCAACCTGGCAAGACCCCAACCAGCAGTTCGAGAGAGTTCTCAGAAGCTGTGGCCTCCTCTTCCTCGGCCACCACCGCTTGGTGAAGGATCCTATCATGGACAACCACGTCTACGACTCTACGACTCCAGGCTGCCGACCGGCGGCAGGCCTCTGTTTCGTAAGCGGCGACGCTTCCACACAGGCCTGGGCGCTCTTCGAAACAAGGCGCAAAGAGCAGGAAATGCCGCGAAATGCCGCGAAGTGGCCTTGCGCTCGTGAAGGGTCACGCAGGACTGGCTTCCTGGCGGCAGCGGACAGCATACCGCATGTTCTCCTCGAAGAGACGTTCACGACATTATTCGGACATGCTCCAATATGCCCCAGGTTGGTTATGTTGCACAAGAATCTATATCCTGTGCTTGTAATAATACGGTACAGTAATGCATTATGCAAATGTGCCGTATAGCACGCAGGTATTGAATGTTAGATGATCGTCTTGTGTGTTGCGCTTGTTGGTTTCTTTTCTGCATTATGTACACTGTATAGGTAATTAAACTATGCCCATGCCTACTGTGCTATACCACAATATGTCGTGCTCACATGTAGAACTTCGAGCTCTGGTGGGTGAAGACCTTGAGACTGTGAAGCTGAGTCCAAATGACCAGAGCTATACAAATGAAAGTCTATATGCAACAACGCCGGCGCGTATGGCGGACGATGAACGTGCTGCATTAAGTTGCATTGTAGAATGGTTCACCATGGTCTTTTGTGTGACTTGTGTGTGGAAAACGCTACCAGAAGCACGAATCAAATCTCCAGGGATCTGCGCAATGAAGATTATGCGATGTGACATACTATGCTGAACACATTTTACGTCTTCTACTCCTGTAGATCGAAACGTCTGTTGTAGGATCGGCATTGTATGTTCATTTTGATCGTGGAGTACAACATCGGCTCTGTGTCAATACACCTAGAGAACAGAACAAAGCAGAGTTTGCTATGCTGACTATAAACATGCAAGAACACCAAGTGGCAAAATCTAGATGGTCATTGACCGTTACTGTACGAAGCAGCAACGGCCCGGCTGTCAGAAGCGAAAACTTGTCGGAGCCACTGGCTAACAAGCCGGCCACGTGTGCAATGTCCTGCAGGAACCGAAGTGCAAGTGGACCCTGCGCCCTGCGCTACTCCCCCAAGCTCACTGCTGTCGCCCAATCCTTTGGCAAAGGCGGGGAAGGGCCCGCAGTTGGGGAGCAGAGCGACTCGTCCTTGGTTGGTTTGTGGCTAAAGACTGAGTGAACTTCCGAGCTTGGTCCATGTGAGCCATCACAGCACGCAAAGGATTCCTGCACACAGACTTGTACCCTTGCGCATGGGTTTTCACTCAGCGATTCAGCCATTTCTTCGCGGCCGCGGCGCAGAGGAATGCATCGAAGGCGTGCCACTGAGGTTGGTGGCCTTGATAAACACACGGGTGGCTGCCGCTTAGCAGTCTTTCCGGGCCAAAGCAATGCAGTGCTTGAAAACCCCAATTTTACACCTGCGATGGCGAATAGCGGCTGTGGTAATGAATCGCAAATTTCCGGGTCCCGAAACCGCGGAGTCGATGTCAACACCGTTCTTGGCAGCACCCAAATGCAACCTCACGAAGGCTGCATTCCGACGTTGCATCACACCAACGAGTTGTATGTCAGCGTCAGCGGCCTAACCACAACACTTCTCCGAGGAGAAAGCCCTGCTGCAATCTGTTCTAGTTTCCTGTCAACGGTGGGCCCATCCACTGGCCTGGGAACCACTGGTGGGGCAGCAGGACGCCCGACTGGCATGGCGCTTAACCCAACCTGGCGAACGAGCGGTTCCGTCGAGGACCATTCGGACGCAATTCCAATCACACCGCCCCAACCGCACGAAGCCGAGAACAAGGTATACTGAAAGCCTGAGAAAGGACCCAGCTAAAGCTTGTTGCTGCCTCCAGGTCTTTGAGCATGACCATCTGCACAAGAGCGGCGGCTTCAACATGTTCTTCTGTACTCAAAGATAAAGGACTTATGCGAGTATCCAACTCTAGTCTCCGCCTTCTCTGGCGAGGGTGGAAACATCTCCGGCAGCCGCGAAGGAGGAGTTGGCAACACGGGTGCTGGCCTCCGAGGCAGGGCCAAAAGGCCAAGGCATGGGCTCATGGAGGCCTGGTCAGCTCTTGGTCTCTGCGGCTTGCCGCTGTGAAGCGGCAAGGGGGCCGGAGAATGGCGCCGCTGATTCCCCGAGGCACAGGCTCTCCAGCACCGTGAAAGGCCACGCGCAGATTTTCGTAGGTGCTTGTCTGACAGGCAGGTGCCGCAAAGATTTGTTCGAAGCACGATACTGCGAGCTGAATGGAAGCCTTCAGCTCCAAGAACTCGAACTGCTGCAGTAGGTCCCGGCCTTGAAAGCTGGTTGTTCCGGATCGCTGGGCTCTCTAACCTCTCTCTCTCTCTCTCTCTCTCTCTCTCTCTCTCCCTCTATCTCTCTTCTTCTCCCAGGCTTAAGGGGCGAGTTAAGCCCTCTCTCTATCTCTCTCTCACGCACATGTGCGTGTCCCTGTAGGTGTACGTGTACGTGTACACGTACGTGTACCTGTAGGTGTACGTGCACGTGTACGTGCATGTGCATGATATATATATATATATATATATATATATATATATATATATATTATACACATAACTGTACATATATACACATATTTATGTATTTATGTACTTTGCATGTTTAAATAAACAAGCTGTATATGTGTGTTTATTATATATATATATATATATATATATATACATATACATATACATATACATATATTATATATTATATATTATATATTATATATTATATATTATATATTATATATTATATATTATGTATTATATATTATATATTATATATTATATATTATATATTATATATTACATAGTATATAGTACATATTACATATTACATATTACATTTTACATTTTACATATTACATATTACATATTCCATATTATATATTATATATTATATATTATATATTATATATTATATATTATATATTATATATTATATATTATATATTATATATTATATATTATATATTATATATTATATACTATATATTATATATTATATATTATATATTATATATTATATATTATATATTATATATTATATATTATATATTATATATTATATTATATATATATATGTGTGTTTTCAGATGTATTGCTGAAGTTGCAGCAGTTCGCGTTGATTCCAGATGTTTGCTTGCGATCGGCCAGAAAACCGTTCTGTTGGTGCATTTCGAGGACCGGTAAGGCTGCACACTCTAGTGTACAAGTGCAAGGATTGGGGAGGCAAACACCGGAGAAACAATTTTTGGCAGACGCGATGCCATGTGCATACAGGCAGACTAGGCTCACACGTCAATTTTGCACTCAGCAGTGTTTCAAAAGGTGCTTTCAGCCAATCTTTGGGCAAAGCCTGTTACCTAGCTAAGTGCTCTGGACATTGATCCGGTGACTCATGTCCAGTCCTGCAGGGATCTTCGAGACGGTTAGCAGCTTAGCACGAAGCTGTCGGCAAACACGTTCGTTCAAGTGTTACACATGCAAGAATCAGATTGACAACTTGGTATTAACATGTGTTAAATGTGATGGACGTAGTTTGGCAAGTGGGCGTAGCCCATTCCATATCGAGCTCTCCAGTGGTACCGTCCACTTTTCGTAGCCGTTGGACTGAGCTGACACCCTTCTGTGAGAATCCTGTACGGCCGTCCCCAAGGGTGAAGAAGCGCACAGCACCATCCATCGCAGCCGTGCAAAGCAGGCCGTCAGCACCTGAGCAAGATCCGGAAACGACCTGCAAACTCCCAGAAGCGGAGACCAGCAAATCTTCTCTTGCTAAGGATGGACTGCTGCAAAGGCTCGCATTGCGGCATAATTCACGTGGACCCCATGCTCGAAGCAGCGAATCATCTCGCCGGACTCAACCTGTTGATGTCTACCAACACCACATCTCTTCCGTCAGTTGCCCCACCTCAACCTTTGCTTCCTATTAATTTCAACTTGACACATGTCCAGCCCAGCAACGAGGGCGTTTCCCAAGTTGACTTGTCCATCTGGAAACTGCTGCGCATCCGCTCTGCTCTGATAATGAAACGGTGAGTGTTTCAGGTTGGCAGAACTTCAGCTAAATGGCAAGAGCATAGCTGTGAGTCCCAATGAGAAACCCTGGTCCGAGGCACATCGTAGACGAGGGCGTGATCACCGGACACTGCGCAAACTCTGTCCTTAGCTGGATGCGGTGATTCCGTGTGCTCTGCTTCCCTCGGTGTTCGTGCCGAGAAACACCAGCAGGAGAGAACCTGTCGGCTTTGAGGTTCGAAACGATTTTGTAAAAACGGTCTCTTAGAGGCCAGGCGGAGTCTTAGAACTTGGAGCCCCGGCCTGGTGGAGACGGTCAGAGCATCTTGCTCAATGGCCATCTCACAGCGCCCCGTCACCGCCTCGATGATCTGGGTCTGGTCTTCTTTGCGAGTCGTGCTCGCACAGATTAGCCTGCACGGAAGCACCAGACCACAAGCGCCACGATGCTAAATCTCTGCATTCAGAGTGTGGCAAGTGGCCCAGACCGCGACTTCAGCCAGTGGCTCCGACTCAAGTCCCGCAAAACGAGTCAGAAAGCTCGGAAAATGCAAGAAGACTCCAACCAACGGATGTGTTCCACGCGAAACGCGCCGTTCACATCAAGGGGAAGCAATCAAAGCCCCTTCTGCCACGGCAGGCGAGGCTCCTGGAGTCCGGGCTGAAGTCCACGGAAGTCACAAGGCCACTGAACTTCTTCTTTGACACCTTTCTGCGGACAGCTAGTCTGTCCAGCTTGGGAGAGGGTAACACATGAAGCGAAGCATCTCGAGGTTTGAGTCTTGGACCAGCTTGGCTTCGGGGGACGTGACGTCAAAGATGCGGATGCACTTGTCTGCCGAACCTCGGCAGAGAGAGTGAACAAGCAAACCCCCCCGGGAGCGGGCCGCTCCGCACTTCAGGCGAGCCTGTGGCAAGCAGTGTGCCATCAGGGCTGTAGCGGACAGAAATGACCCAGCTGTCATGCTTCAGCTTGGCCACCTCAAACAAGATTGCCATGGGCACGGCCCAAGGCTGTACTCTCCCACAAGTTTCCCTAAGTTTCCCAACGCCTCGCCTCGTCTCCTTCGTTTAAATCAAAGATCCTCACGAAAGCGTCGCCGGAGGCTGTTGCAACGGACTGTCCATCCGGGCTGAAGCTCGCGCATTTCGCAGGCAGCCCATGGCCAAACATCTCCAACAGCTTCCAAGTCTTGCAGTCGTAGACTCTAACGGATCGATCGTCCGAAGCTGTGCACAGCATCGAATCATCACAACTAAAATCGGACCACCAGATCGTGGTCCCGTGGTCGACCTCCTGCGGTAAACGCCACAGAGAGCTCCTACCTCCGCCATTCAAGCGTCTGTCCTTGACCATGCGACCCGTCTCCAGCTCGTAGACCCGTGCTGTCCCATCCTGGCCACATCATGAGCAAAAAACTCGGCTTGGGCTTGCCTGCAACGCTCTGGCTGTGGCAAGGCCTCTGAGGACGTGCACAGCAGTTGTCCACCAGAGCTGAAGTTCACAGACCGCACCTTGGCTTGCGAGCCGCATGCATGCTGCGAGCCACCTAGGCAAAGATTCGGCCGGACATTTGCAGCATCCACTGCTCTCACACAACTGACGAGGGATCGCAAGAGGAGAACAACGTGGAAGGTGGATGTAAGACGTGGTTTGTCTGCAACCCAGCCGAGATGCTGGGCGCTTGTGCAGAAAACAAGCGCTGTCCTAAGTTGCACAGGACGAGCCATCTCATGCATGGTGGATGTTGTAGGGAGGTGCAAAATCTGGCAAGCAAGTTGCTGTGGAAGTCGCAAACCTTCTAGACCAGCCATAGTCATCGAGAAGGCGCTTCGAGGCTTCAAATGGCTTCTGCAAACAGAGCAGACGCCTGGCACATGCTGTGAACGCAAAGTTTTTCTCGTTGAACCCAGCCAGGCAAGCGCTTCAAGTAAATCGTAATTACTCAGTTTCGTCCCGTACCCGTCCTCGAATGGGGCTGTGCTCGTCGACACCATATGCCAGCACAGCTGCGCCACATTGCTGCGTTGATTATGCCTGTAAAGTGTGTCTGCTCGACTTAGAAGCTAGTACCGTTGAAAAACCTGTGTTTGGAATCTGCTACCCATCGTCCGTCATGCTGAATAGTAACCTTCACGCGCATGCCATTCTGCGCGAGTTCAGTTTTAGTACAACACATCACTGCCGGAACAAAGCTTGCTTTCCGAGACGAGCTTGAAGTGACTGCTGCAAAACCAATTTGCCCAACCAGTTCTTCAAAGGAGCCAATGGCTAGCCGGCACGCCGCATGTGCAAGCGTCAAATCCAGCTCTGGAGAGAGCGACACAGAAGAACAGCGGCTGCGCCTGGGCCTTAAGGCGCTTTGTGCTCCGAGGCCGTGGCTTACCATGGCGATCACTTGCCTGAGGCCTGTCCTCGGCATCGACGCAAGAGCATCTCTAGACTCATCTGTCCGACCGTCTCTTCCGACCGTTTGCCCACATGTCTCTGTAGGGGCTGGAGACAAGGAGACAGACACAGTGCAGCATCCGCCAGAAGACGAAGAGCTCGGACATGGTCGGACCCTGGGGACCCTGGGGACCCTGGACTGGTCGAGGACCGAAGGCGTCGCGTCACCCGTCGGCCCGTCGGCACAGCTCTGGGTTGCCGGCTCCAACTCGCAGGGGCCCTGATCGGCCGGGCGGTCTCTGCCTGACACAGGCGGCCGACTGTCACGTCACCGCTATCGGAGAGAGTGCTTCCGGTTTTTAGAGATCTTTTATCCGACTTCGGGATTGACGATGGCCTAAAACTTGCAACCATTTAAAGCCGCAACCGGTCGAAAAGCCCTGACAGACCGTCACTCGGACCCTGACCCAGGCGTCGGAGTCGGTCCGTGAGATCATCTAGGACACGGTGGCTCTGCGACCACTCGGCCAAGAGTTGAAGAAGCCTTGCTTTTGCTGACATCCGCACCGAACCCAGGGCTCAAACTGGACTACCAGATCTGACAAGAGATGATTCAAAAGGATCAAGGGCCTTGAAGGGAAACACTTCAGCTGAGAAGCGACGTGCGCTTCTCCGACAGCCACGGAAGGTGGTTCATGATGCCCTGCTCGGTAGGAACCTGCACATGCAGAGGCTAGGACGTTGAACTCTTCTGCAAATAGACTGATTAGAACCCATCAGAGTCATGTTAATGCTTTGAGCATTTTTCCCAAAGCGCCTCGGTGGTCTGTGGCAGAGTCGGCTGCGGCTTGAGCTGTGGTGGCGGCTGCTGCTGTGGTGCCTGAACTGGAGCTGTTGGCTGAGGCTGCGCCGGCTGGGCCACAGGTGCAGCCGTAGCCACCACAGGCTGTGGACTCACGGCTCCCTTCCTGATTGAGTAGCACCAAGCACAGTGCGACTTCCGAACTGAACTCTGCACGACTCTCAGCTGCAGCTCATCCCCCTGTCCTTGCTTCGGGTGATTTGGTCGTCACCTCAAAGACGAGCGCTTCGCCTGGTCATGTCTGGGTTTGCAATTCTTGTGCCCACCGCCTTCCCTCACAAGCCTGGAAGGCTGGGAGCACTGGTACTCCGAATGGGAGTCGGCACCTGGCGCTTAGTCGGAGCTAGAACGACGCGCCCTGCAGTGGTAGGCTGCCTTTCCTTTCAACTGCGCAGTCACAGAACAGCTCGCCGAGGCTCGGGCAGACAGGAGCGCGCTGCCTCCAGCAGAGACCGGAGCTCCCGGCGCACCTCCACATTTGACATAGCATGAGAAGCCGAAACAGCCTAGATTCAACCTCAGAGGGGAGAGGGTTCTCCGGCATCCGTCATACCGAATACAAGCAGCAAAAAGGCGTGATATATCGTGATACCAACGCCTTTCAAGCATCTTGAGTGGAATCAGACACGCTGGACACGGAAGCGTTGAAGAGCAGCTTTGGCCTTGGCCTTCACCTCCACGGCGTGATCGCTTGCCCGCTGTGATACGGCCTGCTCCAGGAAGTGCGAGGACAGGACAGTCAGAGCGCAAGCAGAGCAGTCCGTGTGGCCTTGCTGGCGTACAGGGTTCGCAGTACCTCAGCTTGACACACTGCGAACCAAGCCGAGAGGTTACTGAATGTGCACGTTGAGCTGCCTCTGGCACTGCATGTTAATGCATCGTTGGGTGCGAAACACGATTGCTGTCGACCAAGTCTCCGGCCAGTTCGGTGGTAGCCATTGCTAATGTAGCTTGGCGAGGTGATGTTTTGCGCATTGCCTTGCCAAGCTCACACTTTGTCAATCGAAGAAACAGCACGGCGAGTCTAAAGCGCTCAGCAGCAGCCTCTGCAAATGCAAAAATGCAATGTTCTTGCAGCCACAAGAGGACATCTGTCACTTATCAAGGAAGCACACGAAAGGGCTGACTGGACTGCTGCCGGGAGACTGCCAACGCGGTTCCGGATCAGCATCCTGCCGTGAATTTCAAGCAACGAAGCGCCAGCGTCCGAAGCGGTGTTAGACTTTGCTCACGGCACGGCGTACCCGGGGGCTGCCACGCGACAGTCTCGAAGGGGAGATCTGGCTGCGGCCTTGGAGAACTGCCCTCACACGGAAATCTCTAGCAGTGCCAGGCGCAAAACGCTGCAAGTTCTTCGAAAAATGCTATGTGCAGAACAGAAGTGGTAGCAGCCGGTCGAGCGTGTCCTGGTAGTTGTGAGACAAGTTCGTGGCATTCCGGAGAGCCGCCGACAGATCCTACGGTCTGCCTCGGTGCTGGCCTCGTGCCACAGCACCCTGGAGGGCTGTGCGAATTCGCGCTGTTGGGGACAAGGCGTTGCAACAGGCAGAGGAATATTATCAGCGAAGCAGATGCAGCATTAACCGGCACTTGCTGGAGGTGGAAACGGCCAGGCCTCCGTCGTCATTGTCCAAGCTGGGCGCTCACACTGCACGCGCTCTAGCTCGTCAAAAAGCAGAGTAAACACTGACGATGTCTGAGGGCTCCCCATAATTCCAAACTCCTGTGATTCTTCTGCCTGGCCTGTGGCAACCTCAGCACGTACACCTAAACTTGTAACTATGTGTGCGCAGAATCATCCCAAGATGCTCTCGAGCCTGTGCTCTTTCGGAGACTGAAGTGGGAATGCTTTCCATAGAGTGCTAGGTTCGCATGCATTCGCCTCACAGTACGAGCAGAACTTGTAGCCTTGCAGCCTGATGCAATTCTGAAGCAGATTTCTTTCCGGTTGCTTCACGGCGCAAACTTTTTTTGTGCTCCTTCTCAAGCAGGCTGCAGGGTCCCGCGAAAATCTTAGTCGGCATCAGACTTCTTGCGGAACTCTTCCGGGATGTGCTTCTTGCTCTTCAGGCTGCCTAAGTAGAATGCAACTGCGCCACGAATGCACTGAACCAGTTAGCCACGAGAAGTGCCTCTGCTTATAGTTCACTACCCCGCGCAATACTTGCGCCAAGGAAACGCATCGAGCCAAACACTGCAACCATCTGCAACTCCTTGGCTTCCTAAATGCCAAGCACTGCATGGGCGCACCTGCCAGACCCAGCTCAAAGCGAGAAGGGCCTTCCTTGATGAGGAACTTCGTCTGAGCACAGCAAAAAGCACACAGTGGAACTGTGTGATTTCGCGTGGACATCTAGCTCCCAAGAGCCTTGAAGGGCAGGTACTTCATCATGTAGTGGAAGGCTCGGCGTGCAGTTTCCTGGAAGTGCGTGCAATTAAAGGCTTGCTCTTGCCCTAGAAGCTGTGGTGTTGGTGTAAAGTCCACCTGCGACAGACCGAAACCGTTCCAAACAAAAGATTACGAGCAGCACAGGCACTCATAGCAGGGAACATAATGAGCTCTGCGTGAAAGCTTTTGTAGATTGCTTTCGATCAAGGAAAAGATGCTCCCTTCGCACTACGATGCATCACGGAGACATCACAGCAGAGGTGCTTTGTGGGTTTCTGCTGGATGTCGGGCCTCAGTGCAACCATCCACCTCGAAAAGGATGTATCCAGGCCGGACAGCCTGAACCCAGTACCTGAAACATGACGATGGCCGTCTGCTGCAGACAAGTACCAGTGATTCTCCGTGAATCGAACTTTTGCAACGCGAAGGCCACGGTGAAATCATAAAGCTGCCAAGCTCGAGGCTGGATGGTGCCCTTGCCGCCGCCCATTCGTGTTTCTTTTCCACGCCATGTAATGGCCTCGAAAGATGAAGACGAAACCTTGCGTTCCCTTGCTTATGCTGTGAAGGCTTCTTTGCTTTCTCAGAACCAGACCGAATGCGGGAAGCATCGCAGCCACACTTTTCCGCCATCACGTCGCAGAGTTCGCACCTGGAATACGTAATAGATGAGCCATGTCTGAGCGAAGTGTGGGAAAAACAGGGCCTACCAGGAACTCTTTTCAATCCGATCTGCAACGCGGCTTGCATGTAAGCACTGCATTCACTTGCACATGGGCTGCCGCCTTTCTGTGCACGAGCTTGGCTTCTCGCTGAGTGACACATGATAGCTTTGGGTGGGGTTGTTGCTGCCATGGGCCATGTCTTCTCACTGCAAGTTTCAAAGTGTGTTGTTGCCGAGTACGGCTTCCAAGCAGGTTCTTGGTTTCCGAAGTGTCAGCACTTTCACTGTTCCGTAATGCTTTCCAGTCCGTCTTGTTTTGAAGCTGTACATCCACTCCTCGTCGGGATGATTTTCGGTGAGAGCTCATGACGACCTAGTGGCAGGCCTCGAAGCACATGAGACACAGGGAGCAGACGACTTCATCGTGACGATTCCGGCTTTGATCATCTTGATAAGATGTGACTGTCTTCGAAGTATCCGATGAAACTGCTGCACAGAGTATTCACTGTTGAAGGCGACATTACACCCAGCGAAAACGGTGCATCATCGTCCATCGGTTACGGGCTGTGGCCTACAAGGCTGTGGACATATCGTCACGCGCTTGTCCTTAAATAGAAATAGATTTGCCAGTAAAACCACTCCAAACATGGGCTTCAGGAGAAAGCCTCTGAGAAGAAGCGCGACAAACCCTTCAGGAGAGAGCCTTTGAAAGAAGCGGATGGCTGAAGGGTTTCGACGAACCCTTTATCATACCTTCGCGAGCATACCTCATAGGTATTTTCTCGGACGAGGAGCCCCTTCATGGATCCTTCTGGCAAACCCAAAACATACTGCCAGCATCAAGTCGACTTGTGCTTGCACTCGGCCATTACAGGCGGCCAGTTTCTCCAAAATCTGCCAACCCATGTGCGACGTCCTGAAACTCCTTCTTTGATGGTAGACCTTGCTTTAACATGGCCAATGTTGTCGTTTGCCGCTCCGTTGTGCCGACTGCATGTTTGCAGAACATGTTGGAAACAGACATCTCCAAGTTGAAGTTGTCTTGTCAACGGCAATGGCTTCGATGTTCCGTTACTGGAGAAACTCACTACAGCGCTTAGGAGTCGCTTGATAGCGTGTTGGTACTGAGCTCGCCGCCATCATACGACGGCAGGCCTCGATGTTCGGTGCATTAATCCATGCCTGCAGGCAGGCTTCGCTGCTTCGCTCGCGGCGCATTGAGAGGGCCGTCGAGCGCGAGCACTGGAGCACTGGAGCCACTCTGCCTCCTCGAGGATCTGCAAGGCATACTTGCCGAAGTAGGGCTTGTTGCCCCTGAAAAATGGAAGGCTCTGCATCGCCAGGGACCCCGGGCCCCGAACACTGAAATGTCCCGGGCACCTCCAGGCCTCGCCCTTGTACTTCCACCTTTCCACAGTCACGGAACGCTCAGCTCAGAACCCACAAGAGGTCACGCTTCAAGTCTCACAGCCATCTCAACACTTCCGGCCTGTTCGTGTCCCATGGCTTGACTGGAGGCTTGTGAGGCTTTCGCCACTTGATGTTCTGCAATCGGCACAGCATGCCACGCGTCTTGTTGCAGCTGCCAGACTCACCAGATCTTGCACAGAAACGTGCTTTCTTGCGCCGCAGTCCTTGGGCATGAGCATCCGGCGCTTCGTCTTCGCTTCCCTTGGCTCATTCTCGGAACCTGACGGCAGGAAGTTACAACAAGGCCAGTCTAGGGCCCTGAACAGAATTCAGTCTAGCAAGATCAACACCTGAACTGGTGAGCACGCTAGCTCAGCTCAAGCGGTTCCTGTAACGCGACTCGGGTGGATGAAGGCTTGAGCACCTGCAGGGGCTGCCGAGACGGCGCCCGCGGAAGCGCCCGCGAAGGCAGTGCCAGCGGGTGGAATTGCAGAGCCGATGGCCTGCTCAAGCAGGCCAGAAGGCTGAGGGTACGGACAACAGCTATCAGCATCGGGAAAGCTCTGCACGCCTGCGAAACTACAGGAGAAGTGGTAGCACCTGGCTGTGACAGCTCTTTGCGAGTGAAGCATATGATGCGCAGAAGACACAAGCACACACGAGGACAGCAGAGACACACAGACACACGCGCGCACACGTGGCTTGATCTGCATGTCGTGAGAATCGGAATTCACCAAAAGTTGTTCAGGTAAACTTCTCAAACAGGCAGCAGCACGGGTGCGTACGCCTGGCAGCTCTGATTGCTTCCTACACGACTAAGCTAACCGAGGGAAAAGATAAGTTCGTGTAGATGACAAACCCACTTGCGCGGCTTACCCACAGCAGCCGTCATACCGGCAGCGCAGACCTTGGAAACCAGTCGCCGAGAAGATGACCCACGAAGCACACGGAGGCTCTGCCCGAGCTGTTGAAACGTCACGTAGGATGGATTGGAAATGTAGGCACCAGGCCAGAGCCGCACTTGCCAGGGCAGCACCTGCGGGGCTCGCAGATGCTCCTGTCCTGCAAGACGGGGAGACTCGGGACATTAAGAAAACATCTGCACCAACGGCTGCGCCGCAGCCCTGTCCCTGGGCTTCCGTCTCCTCGGCGCGGCGGCCCTGCGAGGAGCCACAGAGCCGGCTCCGCAGGGGGCCTCTGAGAGAATGCAGTTTATCAAGATCATGTGTCACGACTGTGGTGCTGGGCATTTGAGTCACTACTTCGATGTGCTTGTTGGCGAATTGTTTGAATGAATCTCGGCATCTTGCAATTGCCTGGCAACGTAAGGTGCAGCCAGCACAGTCCAATTTTTGTCGCGCACGCGTGCTCCTGTCGAGAGTTGAGGCCTATACATGTTTGCAGAGCGTATCAGCTTGCATGCACTTAATTCCCTCTGTCGTTAAACAAAGACTCGTTGAAGGCTCCATGCTGACAGCTTAATCTGCCTTGAAAGCTTCAATGCCACACGAGTCTCTCCTTCTACCATATCGTCGATTTCTGGGGAGATTGAGGGCCCACCATGCAGCACGCGTTTCGCAGGGCTGCCACTGCATTCGAGACGCAACCAAAGTGAAAAACGCGACCTGGCAAGCAGCATGCGATCCCAGGTCACGGCACGAACGCTTGAAGTTTACTTTGAAGCTCTACCACCAGAGCGCTTCCTGGAATCCTTCAAAACTGCAGTTTGCATGAGGCATCGTTACCTTGTGGCTTCATGCAGTCTGTACAGAATTAAAAGTTGCGGCAAACGCCCTTACACCTGACTAGATACTCTGATCGGATGTAATATGGCACGGCTGCTCCTGGAAAAAACATTCGGTTCTTGGACGTTTCCGTCGCCAGTCGCATCTCCACAGCATCAAACGACTCGATGCGAATCGCGGTTCTGATCGTCTAGCCAACCAGAACTTGTCATGTCACGAGATGAAAGTTGCAAGGGAGCAACACCGTTCAAGACTCCCTGCATGAATGAATCATCATATCATGTGACAGGTTCGAGTCCACTGCAGATACCTCAGCCAGTTGCTGTTCCCTTGCTCGTAAGAATTGTTTGTGCGCGTCTCAGCTGCTGAGAGATGAGAGGCTCTCAACAACCGGAACTCGGCGCAATCCTATGCAGGGCCTCCCTCTGGAGGGAGCCATCTCTGCCGGCAAGCGGTCAGAATCTCAGGTCACAAAGAACGTACTATCATGTATGGCTTCAGTAAAACCACTTCGTGCCCTGGTCGGGAACATCCCCTCAGCTTCTCCCTGAGGAGGAGCAGAGCGGAGAACATCTAAGAAACGGCTTGGCCGAAGCGAGGAAGGCTGACCTTCAGCCATCCCCACCTCTGAGAGCTGCCAAAGAAGGCAGCCTTCGAAGGGGGTTCTCAAAAGGAGCCGTACTCGGAGCAAAGTAAAGAGAACAACATATCTTCGATCGAAGAATATATGAAAACCAGAGCCCGCAGGCATCCCGCCCCAGCGGCTTCCAGCTTACTAGATGGAGAAGTTTGAGACCCTTCTGGGAAGCAAACCTCCAGGTGATTCTAGGAAACAGAGTGGAACCAGCTCGCAGAAAGGCAGCGAACAGTCCTTCTTTGGATGGACAGCTCGGACCTTGTCTTCTGCGGCTTCAATCAACGGATTGCGTCCGGCCACATGCTACTGTCCGCACTCGGTTGTTGTCACCTGTACAGGCAAGACATCGGCAGTGAGCAAAGGATCTACAACGTTCAGGACATGAGGTCGCTCATGCAGTACGGTCAGCTCAGCAATCCAAGACACTTCAAGATAAAGGCTGCACACGCGAATGACACTGCGAAGAGATTGAAATCGCCAGCGCCCCCGTTGCCTCAAAGTGTCGGTGGAACCTTCGTTCGCAAGTGGGACAGGGCCTGGCCGAAGAAGCCTTCTGTCCGACAAGCAGCCCTTTCCAAGCACTTGGTGCACCTCGCGCAGATCGCCGACATAGCCTTGCTCCTCCTTTGCGCTGCGAATTGCCAGGGCCTTCCGGGACGAAGCCATGCTGTCGCATCGAGTGCAGCAACTGTCAGCTATGCCGGGCGCCGCACAATCAGCTCCGAGATGTTCATCCTCCGCTGCAGGAGACGGCTTGAGTCTGGGGTCTCCATGCGCCGCCGAAGCGCGCAATGTTCCGGCTAGTCATTGACAGCATCCCCTCGAGACGGTGTGATAACTGAAGCTAAGACAAGAAACAAGGAAATAAATGCGATGAAGGTGGGCAGAAGGCTCCCTCAACATCCTGCCCACTGTATCTTGCTCGATTCTGCTGTGCCGAGGATTCGAAAAGCAAACCACCACGAAAGTCAAAGCACGGAAAACACCTCCAAGCCCCAGAGATCAGCTAGAGGGCAAAGCCGTGTTTCTCATTGTGTTGCCCGTGTCCTTCGAAGGATTTTGTCCAGATTCCGCACATACCTCGGCTGTAAGCTGCGGAGGGCAAGCCGGTTTGCCGCTGTCTGCAGCAGCTCAGTCCGCGGCCTCTCTGCCAGATTTTCGGCATCCTTGGGCATCAAAGCTCATGAGCGAACGCTGTGGTGAAACTGAGTAAAACCGCCTCTGCATTCTGCACATGGCACTCAGCAATCTGAAATCTGAAAGGATCTCTGTGATCTCTCTACCTCGGCATTCAGCGGTCCTCAGGAGACACCACCGGCGGATTCACGGCCAAGTATGCTAGCCGCCTTGGAGATGTGACTGTGCATTCTCTACAACAGCATGAGATGTCGGCACTTGCATGTGCCATGCTCTCCGACATCTGGCCAAGCGGCTTCTGCCAGAGGTCCATGATGTCAGTCATGGCAGCTGTCATTCGCTTCCTAAGCCGTGTTCATAAAATGCACTGACCAACTCGAGCTCAAGGTTTCGGATTCTTCACTGCACCAACACTGCCCGTCTGACAGACCAAACCTCGCAAGCCTCCTGAGATCTGTCCAAGCCGCTCTTCGGCCTTCTCCTAGCAGGTGGAAGTGCATTTTCTGCAGACTGCGTAACGGCCCGGGGTAGCGAGCAAAAACCTGCCTGCACCCGGTTCATCAGCATCTCCAGGAGCATGTTCTCAGGGAGAGACTGGAGCACGAGACGCTGTCGCTTGTCCAGCTTCGGTGCCTGAACAAACGCAGAAGCGAAAGCCTTGAAGGGGAAACAAAGGCACACGATTCTGTTCAGCTGTGCAGACATTTTTCGCTGCCTTCTCCGTGTGCTGTGCATGGCAGTAGCCACAGTCCTTCCCATTTGTACAGCAACCCTTCGCCTTGGCAGTGGCAGAAGAGTACAAATCACTTCCGGTTTCGTCACATCCAAACCCAAGCCCCTGGCGAAGTAGAAGCATGGCCTCCTGTATGTATGTTTGTGTCATCAAATGACAAATCTGTAAATGGTTCTGTGGGGCGTTGCCTGCAGAGCTCAGGATGGCCAATGCTTCCTGCAAGCGCAGAATCCGACAAGGCCATTCATCCGAACCAGAGTCGCTTGCCTTCACTAGGCACACCAGGCGGCAGAGGAGCGGTCACCTGCGCAAATTGGCTGACGGAGGAATTGTCCAAACCGCAGCAACGATTAAGTATGGCAATCGAAACGCTGCGACGTTTTATCCGGCTGTGCGTTCAGACTTGCTCAGACTTCAGTTCGCCCATTGTTGAAAAGGCAAGGTCCCGAGGCTTTGCGATTCCCACCTGGCCCTCCAGCGGCATCAGCCCGACTGGGCCGAGATTCTGCATCTGTGGCATTCGCGCATATGCCTGCCGCACGGAGCGTGCTCACGTTGCACCTCTGACGGCTAATCGTTAATGATGTGTCTCCCCCTAGCGAACTCATGGTGACAGGCATAAAGCCGCAGATCATACATGCTGCGCTCCCGAAAAGTCTGCCAAGTGCTTCAAAGGGTGCCTGGCTGTCATTCCGCTCGGGGCTACTCGACCCAGATTGCGAAACGGGATAAACCTTTCCAGCGAAGAGCCGGCAACTGACCACAAGCACTGGAAAGCACAGCCTGCCAGTCGCTCCGCAAAGGTACTGCGTTCGGGTTCGGATGCGCCACGACGAAGGCCTAAAGCACGAGAAGACAGGGGCAGGATTCAAGAGACTGGAATCGCTGCCTGGCCCTCGTACGGCATTGGCCGTGCTACCGCATTGCCCTGCATGGGGAAAGCCTGCTGCAGACGCACAGACAACCGGCAGCAGCAGCTGAATGACAGTATGATAGCCTTTGATCATCCATAACCCCGTCCCTCACAGAACTCATGATTTCACAGCGGGGCTTACTGGCTTGAGCTGATTTCGGGAAGAGATGCGTGCCAAAGAATCACGTATGCACCATTCCTGCCGCTCCAAAACATACATGCATATCGATGAATCATGCGAAAGGCCAAAGCCACAGGATTCCCAAACAAGGGCTGTTGGCCTGGCAATCCCTCATCGGCATCACTGGTGCTCCAGGTGCTGCAAAAGGATAGGCCTGTTGGAATCAAGAAGAATGCAGTAGAATTGCACTCTGCCAAGAAAGGTCTGTCCATCAAAAACCACGTAGGCTTTGTTTGAAGCAGCGCCCGAGCAGTCACCCACCTATTGATGAAGAGGCCTGCCCATCCCGCTGCGCGTGTTGAGGAAGCCCCGTCCCTGGAGCCAACGCAAGTGCCTGTCGGTCATCAAAGTTTCACGAGGGTCTTGCTGACGTGGTCCCGGAGGCTTAAGATTTCAGCAGCGCAGACTTAAGATTCCGGAAGGAATGCACACAGGGCACAGCAACCATCATCCCGAAAGAAGGTCCGGATAACGGTGATTCGATACAGCACCTGTTTGTCTGATCCAAGCCCTGCCATTTTCATGGTTTGCGTGGCGGGTGTGCTCCGTTAGCCGTATTATGAAAACCACATCGCTGTTCTTGTTTCAGTTTTGAACACCGACATACAGGCAGGATCCTTGTGACCGACAGCACGTTTTTCTTTTTCGAGGGCGCTTGACGGGAGGGGAGGGCGAGTAACGTGGAAGAGAGTATAGGGGTATGCTTACACCGGGTTTGCATGCAATACACCTCACCTGAACATCGCGCTGCACGGGAGTCCCCATCGGCAGTGGGATTGCCTGGCGGACCAGGCTACCCGACCATGCATGAGGAAAATCCAGCCGCCCAGTGCTCTTTGGCCTGAACATGGATTGGCGAGCTCTGAGAGTTCGGGCTCGCCAAGTCCTGCCAATGTCTTGCCCATGAAAAAGCACCAGGAAGCAACCCACGACGGTGCATAACTCCACTTGCTGAATACACGTGGTCTCCTGGTGCGCCTCACCAACTACGACGAAGGAAGTTAGACCCTGTGGCAGGTAGACCTGTGTGGGGCGACGCAAGCTGCTGCGAGTGGCTTGCCTTCATAAACGCAGGAAAGCACTCGCCTTGTGCGGCTGCCAGTTTGGAGACATCGCCTGGTTGTCCTTGGGATTTCAGCTTTGCGAAACCTAGCGCTGGAAATGCTCCAAAGATTGGGCCCAGTAGCCGTCTGAGCAAAGTTCTGGCCGATGGGTGTCAGCACTGCCTGGAGCAGCTGCTATCGGGACTCCAACATACCCCTTACTGGAGACCGCACCTGGCCATCCTTGCGGAACTGATTCGGACAGGCCTGTCAACCACTGAAAGCTCCGATCCACTCAAACGAAGGCCGTCCAGCAGCTCAGCGGGGCCTGCGGACTGCCGTCTCCGTTCCAGAGCTGGGCCTTCGTGAATGCAGGCTGCGTGTCGACGAGTCCAACGTTCTTGCTTTGTCCTTGCCAGCCTGGGCAAACTGAATTCCACCTCCACCGCAGGCTCTGGCGAAGTCCTGAGCAACAAGCCCAAGGAATTTTGGACATGCGGGGCGTAGCAAGAGGGCACAGCCTGCTCACGCAGGGGCAGCATCGTAGCTCCGTTAAGAGCTGCCCCGGGAAGAAGCGGCACAGCCTCGAGCTGACTGACTGAGAGGCGGGCACTGCGGCAACCCCCCGGCCTGGAACTTGTCTCCCAGATCTGGACCTCGCTGTATGAAACCTCCGGTTTTTGCCTGGCATCGGACACAGCAGACTCGGCACAACCAGCTTTCCTGGCCGAGTACATGCCCTGCATGTCGAATTACACTTGACTTCTGCAGAAGGTGCTAGGTCCTTGAGACATCTGGCACACAAGCCTATTTCCGTCCAAGTCGCTCGTTCCATCGGATCCGGCATGTGTATAGGCTGCGCCTGTAAGAAATCCACACAGATTGCTCTGAGAGCTTCAGCCCGACTTCGCTGACTCCAAAGCCCCAACCCGCTGGTTCCCAGTCAGGTGTGCCTCGTACTGGGATGAACCCATGCGGTTCTGGTTCGTGTTATAGAAATGCCTTGTCCGAACACTCTGCAGAACGGGTTCGAGCATTGGCTGAACTCTGCGAGTCGGACTTCACTGCCCGGGCCCTAGTCTGGTAGCTGGCCAGTGCCAAGGGTGTAGAAGCAATGCGTTCGGCCCTTGATACAAATGCAGCCATGCTGCACCCCCAAATCCATGTTGGCCACAGCCTGCTGAGTTCCAGCACTACTCCCCACCGGCTGCCCCACACTCTCAACACAAGCTGTACTTCGTGGTGGGCTGCACAAGCATCGATTGCAGCTAGTGGCATCAGAACGCGCCTCAAACTGACCACAACTGCTCGGGGGCACAAAAACTGTGAGCCACACAAATACAAAGGCAAACCACGGGTCATTGCAGAAAGGCCTCTACAGTGCTGGCTTCGTGTTAGACTTGTCGGAAAGATGCAATTAGCTGGCAGCTAGTTTCCTGCAGCAACAACGGAGCAACCCCTCGAGCTTTTCTCGCACGAGGTTTGCACGGGCGACCCGAGGATGATCCACGTCTCGTGGAGCACCGCGAGGTAGGGCTTGCAAACTTTCGGATCCTGATGGCCGACAGCTCCATGAAAAGGCTCGGAAGTTCACTAAGACTCCAAAGAGGCGAGTGCTTACCACGTCACACTTGACTTACTTGACTTCTGTGGCAAAGCCCGCCTTAAAGCTTTGCTGCGGGGAACAAGTGCCGAGTTTTGGTCCTCACGTGCACAACTTGCACACTGCAGTTGCTCTGCTTACACTTCGTTGGGTCAACCCTGAGTGTCCTCATCCACAAATCCAGCGGGGCTCTTGCAGCCATGGCTGCTTTCACTCCGAAACAATGACGAAAGCATGTGACGAAAGCAAGGTCGTCGGAAGCTTGAGAGGCTACTTGTATCTTCCTGCAGTACACAAATGACAAAGCCTCACAATAAACACACAGATTGTAGCAACTTCTTGGGAACGCGAGTCGTTCAGTCAGCTGCTGGGACGAGCTGGAGCAGGCGAGGCGACAGCGCAGCGGCCATAGCACATGGACCGGGCAGTCATGGCGCGGCAAGCGCTGACACTGAGAAGGCTGCCACGAAGGCTGGCTCCAGAATGAAACTACGAACCTGCCAATGTCGGGTCGGACCGGACTGCTTTCTCAAAAAGGCTCAGAGCTCATCTCCAGAGAAGTTCACCAAGCTAGGACTCGGATGCCACGATCACAACCTGTAGCTGAGTCCATGGCTGAGACGAATGCCAGACATGCCGCCAGGGCTCCTCAAGCAATCTGAAACTCAGGACCTGCATGCATGAGGTAGCGTGAGGGCTGCAAAAGATCCTGGAAGGAGTTGACGCCGCCGCATACGGGTGCTCTGCAAGCCTGGGGCTTCACCGGCGCGAGCAACTGGGCTGTCGGAACTGGTGCTCCGAGCCCGGAACCCGAGTGAGGGCGCTTCGCGGCGGAGCTGGAGGGGGAAATCTATCCTTTTGGCCCTCCGCTGGAGCTGCAAACAGTGCAGAGGATAGTCTCTCTTTGCGCACATCCTCCTGACATCCTGCGGACCTTCAATGCCACGACACCGAACAAAAAAAACAAGCTCAATGTTCCATGTCCAAACGATCGGCAGGCGGTTTAACACAACAAAAACTCCACTTCAGGCAACAGTTTTGAGTTAAGTCGTGTCAAGGCAAGCCCGCGTTTTGGATCATGCATAAGAAGGGTATGAGCCGGCACCCCTCGGCACGCTAAATCGATTCAGCATCTTGCTGCACCTCCAATGTCCTCCGACATGGGGTAAGGATATTTACAACACAGCACAAGAAGACTTGCAGGCATCTGATCCATCTCTCCGCACTGATGCTGCTACGGCGAGGACTGGATAAATGCGTCCATCTCCTCTCAGTCCAAACACAGGACAGTCAGTGCAGACACACACCCAACCGAAGCTTGTCTAGAGGCTTTCGTATTATTGTTGCACGTGCCTGATGTGCTCTTTAAGAAGACCACTCCTGCAGAATCTCGGCCGTTTTCTCGTGAAGAAGCCAATGGGATGCGTCCTCGACGATGTCAGCCATGTGTTCCGGTTACGTTTCGGCTGTTTTCTGCGAGTCAACCTGACAACATTAAATCACTATGACAGCCGGGATTCGTACACCACTGTTCGCTTGGAGGGGTGTGTAACGTACATGGAGTCGGCGGACCATCCAGCCATTCCAGGGGACACATAGATGTCATCACTCCCGAAAAGCTGCAAAGTTGGAACAACACCTGAAGGACACAGAATTGTTTCGAACCTCCTGAGAGATGCTTGCTAGGAACTGAGAGCCCGCTTTGTGCTGCCAAGCAACTTGGGGTTTGTCCATCCTTCCACACACTATTTATGGTGCCAGGTCCGAGCACTGACGGCGGCAACACGCTCTTCAGCAGCCATTCGTTGCCCATCCAGTACCATGTGCTCAGGGGACAATGGGTGTCTGACTGATAGGTGCGCGCATAGACCTCCTTGAGCCTCTTGATCGTCTCCTTGCTGTAAGTCTTGGGCCTGCTGCTGCCTCAGTTTGACGCAGGAGGCAGGCCGCCCTTAGGGGATGCACCACATCAGGGCGGTATGCTGCTGTAACTGCTAAATCTGTTAAGTATAAAGGTTCCCTAAACCCTTCGGCCCGGCTGCCGAAAGCGAACGAGATGAACCAGGCGAAATCGTCCTTGGCTACCTTCCAGCGCGCGAGCGGGCCAGTGAGCCCCCAGAAGAGGAAATACCAGACATGCGTGACAGAGAATGGCAGCCGCACAAGGTTGAACGAACCTCGGGGCAAGGTTTTTCTGACAATGTCCCAAGTCCCAAGTTTCTGCTCAAACGTCAAGACGGACCTCAAGGGTTCCTTTGCTTAGTCGCTTCTCACGTTCTCTGTTTCAAATTCACGATGGTGTGACTTTGCAGTCATGCCTGTCGGGCCCTGTTGTCTGCAAGATTGTATCTACCGACATTCTCAACAACATACTAAAACACCTTGGGTGCAGTCTTTTGACTATTGTGAGCCAACACTTTTGTTCTGGTTTGAGCTGATGCGCATACTCAGGATGCAGCTCCTTGTCCGTGTCGACTCGTCCTTGACGATCGCAACATGCGCATACAGTCTAGCGGTCTAACTGTGAAACCGTCGCCGTCAGGTTCCCTACCCAACAGTTTAACAGGGGTATTCTGCCAATCGTCGCCAGAATGCAAGACCTTGCCATGCTAGACTACGAACGATTGCCTCCCAGAATTCGTTAATTCCCACCACCAAACTATCTGTTCGCCTGAAGAACCAGGCTTCCAAGACACGATAGAGCTCCGGGTGGGGGACGGCCATGGCCACCAATGCCTGGGTCCTGGCTGGGAAGCGCAAGGCAAAGACCCAGGCGATCACAGCGCCCCAATCGTGTCCGACCACAATAGCCTGGAGACAGGGGCTGCTGAGCTAAGCAAGACACTTGACCAGGGTGCCAGAAACGAAAACAGAGGTGGCCTTGTCGTGACCTGTAGATGTGACCAACGACAGCAGGTCGTCAGACAAGAGGTCAAAGGAAAGCATTCCGCTTTCAGCCATGCTGTTGTTCACATTGCGCATGTCCGGTGCGAGCACATGGTACCCTGCTGCTGCATAATGAAGAATGTACTCTTTCCAAGATGCGGCTGTTTCGGGAAAACCGTGCACAAACAGCACAACACCTTTGCTTTCAGATGGATCTGGTCCGGCAACGATCGTCTTCAGGGTGACACCTTGCGACCCGGCTTTGTCCAAGTACCGCAACGAATCTGGCCAAGAAAAGGGCTCGTCAGAGAAGTGCTGCTCCTGCCAACCTTGTCGGATTGCTGCGTGCCAATGAAACTCATAAGTTCGCCTGGAATGAAGATGGTCACGCAAACCAAACCTTCTAGTTGCGGCTGAACGGCTCGTCGAAGGTGACCATGCTAACCAAACAGAGACGGCAGCGACGGAAGCGGATACCAGTGTCAGTCTGGACAACATGTGGCTGACAACAATCTTCACTATAGGAACCTTGAGACCAGGCTTGGTTGGTAAAACGATTCATCGTGCCATTAAGTTTCTTTGCATCGGGTGCTTGCCGATACTGCACAAAATGCAAACGAAGAAACTTGCTTTAATTGTCCACCTCAAGCAGGCTTCTTTCAGCTAAGTTCTTCAGTGCACATCTCTTCCTGACGACGCTAGGGTAGTTCATTGCAATCTCGATCGAACATGACACGCAACAGTTTCAGCGATATGGCTTTCCAGCGGCTGTGATTTATGCAAACATGGCTGTGCTGCAGCGGCAGCATCCGGCAAGGATGTTTCAAGCACATTCCTCCCCAATCCAGCCACCGGGGAATACAGAGCGCATCCAAAGCATACCGGAAGAACTGACGAACAAAATCAAAATGTGCCGACACGCTAAACAAAACACGACCGGTCTGCCTATCTGTATTTAGCTTGTACAAAGTCCGCCCTCTCAAACTAAAACTCTACACGGCAAGCAACAGCGACAAATCAATCCCTTGTGTATGATAGGATGGCATAAGGCATCCACATTTAAACATGGTGTTGACTATTTCGAGCTTCGTTTTCCGAACAGCCGGCAAAGTTGGCATATTATAGGTGAAGAAGCCCTGGTGGTTGGCAGGAACCCCCAACGAACAAACCCCAGGCTGGAACAAGCTCCAGGTTGGCAGGTTGGAAGAAACGTCCGACAGCAGAATTCCGCCCAGACTGGAGCCAACTTTCACCAGAAACAGCGTTTGGCAAAGAAAATCCCTTCCTGAAGCTGCGGCTTGGAAACGGCCTCTGCATGGAAACAAACCCTTACTGGAATCCTTGCTAGACATGCAGGTCTACGTGTCAGAACTAATTCTTTCCTGTCGCAAACCACATTTGTTGTTTTCACGGTCGGTGCCCGGTCCAAATCCCTTCGCGTTGGTTCGAAAGCCTTTGACTTTTGCAGCAACACAATCTCCATTCAGGTCGAAGCAAGGTCCACAAACCACATGGGTCGCCTTTACTTCCGCAAAGTCCAAAACATCTTTGACTGTGACAATGTCTTGTTCTTCAGAACACGGTCCACAAACCGTGCTCCATCGAATCGTTTTTTTGGAGTGCTCGGCCTCGGCCCGCATTGGTTTTAGAACGAGAGAGCAAGGCGGCTTGTACAAGACCTAAAGAGTGAAACAAGGGGCTGGGCCAGGCAGGCGCTTAGACGATCTGCACACAGCTAAAAAAAGCAATGCTCGTCGTCAACGCTTCAGTGTGAAAACTGGAAGGCTCAACAGCATGTTAACATCGGCACCATTCATGCCCAGCAACCCAGAATGCAAGCATAGACGCATATCCAGAGTCCGAAAACGCTCTTCAGTCGCCGCTCATCATCTTGACTTTTGAACCGAAGTAGAAGAAGGAGAGAAGGCTCACGGAGGTAATTCATTAAACGAAACCTTAAACCTGCTTCACAAGCATCTTGAAATCAACCCATCAACTTAGCATACCGAAACACTGATGCCTTAAAACGAACAAAAACATGCTCCAACATGCAACTGTTGTTAAATTATTGGAAACACTTACTTCAGCTGATTTCAATAATTTCGTGGGCAGAGTTTCTGAATGAGATGGCGCTTCCAAAAATGCGTGCCGTCGGAGCTCACTCCAAACCACCCAGGTAAGGATCTGGTGTTGCCAGCCCCAGCCTAAAACTTAAAGTTCCGAATCCAGGGTAAACTAAGAGTTTGGAGCTTCGAACCCAGGGTTCGAACATCGAAGTTCGCTCCAAACCTTGGTGAAGAGTTTGGACCCAGAGTTTGAACATAGAGTTTAATTTTATTCGCAAAACCCCCCACAAAGCGATTCTGTGTGGCTTTTTCTCCTTTTGGTGTTCTATTCGAACACCGTTCGAACTCTAGAAGAAGTCCGTTCGAACCCTTGAGAAAAAAACTCTTCGTCGTTGACAATCTTTTTCTTTGTTTTTGTCGTTCTTTGATTTTCTTTGGAAAAACCCCCACAAAGCGGTTTCGTGTGGCTTCTTCTTCTTTTGTGACAGAGAGTTTACCCGCCAGGAAGTTCCCAGAATCCGAGGTTCCAACACAGAGTCTCCAAACGACGGGTTCCAACACATAGAGTTTCCAAACCCAGGGTTCGACTCCCTAGGGGACGGAAGGGAGGTTCCAAACCCGGGGTTCCCGGTATAGAGTTCCCCAAACCCCAGGTTCGAACATAGAGTTCCGAACCTAGGGTTCGAACACAGAGTTTCCAAAGCTCGAGTTCGAACATAAAGTCTCCAAACCCAGAGTTTGAACATAGAGTTCAAACTTCAGGTTCAACCTGGATTCGAAAG